ATTATTTCTAGAACTCAAACACTTAAAGGAAGGTAAGCAATGCTGAACCAGGCAGGAAGGAAAGTTAAAAGCATTTAGACCCAGACTACTCAAAAATTGCTGGCTTTCATCCAAATCCAGATCATAATCAAATTTTGCCAGACAGGTACCCACTGCCAAAAATCCATCTTTCTCTCGTTTTTGCAGAGCCACTCTATTTTTATAATCCACTTTATCTCAAAGGAAACTGCAATTTTTGGCCAGAAAGGTAAGAAAAAAATACCTTGCTGACCTGACAAAGGTTGATGTGGCTCATGGCTCAATTTGAGCACACTTCAGGAAATGTGAATGGCTTTCGGGTAGTCTTATCACAAACATCAATTATAAAAAATAATATATATATTATTTTGATAAAAATCAGCTTTGGAAGTCAAAGAGTTTTGCATGGGATTTTTCATCTTCTCTTTTACCATCTTGAAAGTTATTAGGGAAACAGAGACAGAGATATAAGACTTGACGTGTTTAATACCGAAGGAGAACTCAGGGCCACAAAATTCACAAGCATAGTACTGAATTCCAAAATAGGACAGTGTGGAAGTAGAACATCTCACCTGGGCTATATGCTTGTGCTTAAGATCTCATTCCTGGATTCACATTTAGCCAATCAAAAAGAAGGAGTCTAAATTTCAATTGTGCTCCATAGACTGAATGTCCACACTAACTTCAGCAGCATCCAGAATTATTTTTAAAAAAAATTAAAAAAAAAAAAAAAAAAATCCAGCTTCTTCTGTTTAAGGGATTAAACATAGAATAGACATCAGGTTTATGAGTAAAAGGAGTTTGAGCTTAAAGTATCAACAGTATAAAATTTATCCCCATTAACAGCATATTTTCATATAGAAGACCAGAGCCTGAGAACTGAACAGAAAAAAAATCCAATTAAGGCCTGTATCTCATCTTAATACACTGCTGACTACATCAGAAAAGATACATTAAAGACAGTGTATTAAATTAAATTAGCTCTATATACTGTACTTTAACACTTCCTATCATTTACTGATAGTGCAGGAACAGAGCACTTTTATGAGAGTACTTAAACCTCCCCAGTTTCTGCAGCTGAATCTCCAGAATTACAGCTCACATTCAGTGTGCAGAGGAAAGTGCTCCTGTGCACAGAAGTTTCAAAGCAAATAAATAAGCCAGCCAAATCCATTATAAATTATAAACTAGCCCTGTCTGCCACACAACTGGCCAGTAATCACTGCCTGTGTTTAACAGCTTAGACCAAGATTTTAAAAAACCCACAACATGCTTTCCAAGTTTTCTTCCTCCAGATAAAAGACTTGTTCATTTCAGCTCTTGATTTGGTCATTTGTCCAGCTGGCGTTAAGCAGCATTTCTTAATCCCAGATTTGTTCCAAAGAAACCAGGGATATTATATTGAACTGAGATACCTTGATGAGCAATTCTGCTTTTCACTTTGTGGCAAAAAGAGACTACCAATGAATTACCATCACTGGGACTGTAAGGACCAAATTTCCATGGATCAGACTGACCTCTGAGCCTCAAGTTTATAATATGTGGAATGGAGCACAAGTGTGTTTCTTCCATCACTGAGAAAACCAGAGTACACCACATCATCTCAGCTTCCAGGCATGAAAACCAGTACAGAATTCCCCGGGTTAAAAATGACACAGTGTTTGCTGAGAGATGATGACATCTGTTTAAATTTCTCACTGCAGCTTTTGCATTAAGACATAGAATGGTTGAATATTTAAACACACTGCAGTGTTACTCAAAAAGTAACAGATTCAGCCTCAAAACAGACTCTTTCGCACACCAGTATAACCACGGCAATGCAGAGCATTTCATACAGATGCACCTACAAGGGGTTTAGACAAGGCTTAGCACAACTGCCCAGCAGTGAAAAGCAGAAAAGGGGATCTGAACACAACATTACGCTGTGATATTCCATTCAGCTTGAGGGTATAAGCAAGCTTTATGATGAGGTCATAAAGCAATTTTTACACTGAATTTATGAGCTCATTGTACAGTCATTTCCAGAAGCCAGGGGCCGGTTTATTAGAAGACAGCCTGCGGCAAAATTGAAAACGGAGATTGCAGAGAAGTTCGACTGCAATCCTGGCAATATCCAAGGCTGAGGCACGAAAATTGTAAGGCAAACAAGTAGGGAGGGAACATTTAAGTACCAGACTTATAAATATCTGAACAAGGACATTTCAGAATCAGCAACATGAGAAGCATTGATTTACATTCATTTTCATTTGCAGAATTTCACTTTTATTTGAAGACAAGCTTATGCACACCAAGCAGGATTGAAAAATAACTGCTACTCCTGAATATTCACACCAGACACTATTGCTAAATCATGAATAAATGACAGAGAGCATTTTCATCACATATACAAATTGTTTAAGACCAATCTTGTTTCTTAACTGAAAAACTCCCACTTGCTTCTTACATTAGTTCTTGTCAAACCACCCTAACTGGCATCGGTATCACAAGATAAACCTTCAAACACAGCCCAGCAATCATCCCAAAAGGCACCGTGAGGGACACAGGCAACAGCCCAGAAGTGCTGAATTGTTCTGCGGCAAGAGCGAGAAGCTGAAGGATCTTTTAAAGAGGTTGTAGGGAACTCAAAAAGATTCATAAATATCAAATATTTTGAGACTCAGGGTCAAAGGGAACCTTGGATGATCTCTCATGTACCTATCCCAGCTCGCTTCATTTCAGATGACAATGTTCTAACTGAGCAAAAGCATTTGACCATGAACACACGTTCATAAATTCCTCAGAACACAGCCAAGAAAACTGGACCACAACACATTCCAATTGTATCTTTAAATGCTTAATTGACTGGACTGTTTACAATAACTGTCTTATTCTAAGATTTGGAATTTATCTAGCTTTTATTTTATACTACTGGTGGTTCTTACATTGCTTCCTACTAAAGAGCCCTGTCAGAACAGAGAGAAGTCACAAGTAGAAACAAACAGTATTACAGAGAAGGAGTAAACAGCAGGGGAAAAGCTGGATAAACCACAGTATCACAGAATTAGTGGGTCAGGTGTAATGCAGTCACCAAAAGAGACAAATGTATCTCTTCAGTTATGACAGGTATTTTTTTCTGGTCATTTGCCCACTACTCACTATGGCCATGTACACAGAGACTTAAATATGTGGATAGTCCAGTGAACCAAAAAACACTTCTAAGATCAAAACTAAATAGTTTTGAACTCCAGAGGTATTTTTTATCCAAGTAGATCAAATCACTGGTTTACAGTAGTTTAACTGGGACAAAGTTATTATCTATGAAAGTATTAATGTGGTAAACAGAAAGGGAAGCTACAGAAACGGACATTTGTTAAAATGGAATGAGCCACAACAGTAAATTTCAGATAGTGATAACTCACTGTGGTTTTCTCTCTCCCATCTACAATATACCAATTTTCTAAATATTGGAAAAATATAAATCATGTTTTTCCTATCATGGCTGTTGTCCTCAAATAAATCATCGCAATGATAATAATTTAAGTAATTGAAAATTTCATTTTGTAGACTTCCTCCAGAACTTTTCCTGTTGGCTGTTTAAATACCCAGATTTTTATTTTTTCCCCTTCTATAAATCATCTCCTCTGGGTGCTGTACATCAGTCACACACACTGGGCTCAGCACTCAGATCATTCACTCACCAAAGAACCCTTGGATGATACTGGAGAGTGTATTGTCTACTGACATAATTCTGATCACCTGCACGGTCTTTCCATCACAAAATACCAATTAATTAAACCAAAATTCATTCATACCAACAGGATCCAGCATTTGCATTCCCACCACAGTGTTTTACTATACACTGTTAAAACCCAAGTTTTTGCTTTACAGCCCCCCAACATCCTTGTAGTACCATCACATGGATCACTGGGAACCTGCAATTTTTTGGTTGCCAGGACAACTGGCTGACAAGCAAAAAGTGAACCAAAAGGTGCTTTTTTTTCATGTATTTGCTGCAAAGTTGTGCATTTCTATATTTTTAGTCCTCTTTTGGAATAATATTCCCCTTGCTGCCATCTCTCAGAAGTGTCTATAGGTCAGACATTCTGCACAAAGTTCTAAACTTAAACATCAATGCTGGGCATTTTACCCACTTAAATATCAGACTGTTTCCTCAGTCCTGCTGATTTACATTTATAAACAATTAGGAAATACCTTGCTATGTCATAAAATGCAAGGAAAGGCTTTATTAATTTTTGAACATCTTTCCAGTGCTGCAATCCTGCTTTGTGTGCTGCAGAATCAAATGATGATGGATTAGCAGTGCTAATGGTCCCAGAGTAACGTCGTTTAAAAATAATAGTTTTACCTGTTTATTGATCAGTAGAACTGTAAATAATCAATGTAAATAAGTATGAAGCTAAACATTTCATTGCTCAAAACAAGTTTACACCTTTGAGAGGTAAGAAGAGGTGAGATCTTCAAGAGAAAAGCAAAGAGGAGCTTTAGTCCAGGGCAGCCTCTCTGTAAGCACAGTGCAGCTTCCACCCACACAAGTGTCCTTTCATCCTGCTACTTTTATTTACTTTTCCTTTGACTCTCTCAACTATTCTCTTTTATTACTTACACGAACATCACTAAAAGGCCAAGAAAATGCTAAGAAACCCAAGGATTCACACAGAAGCACCTTCCTACAGAGTAAATAGCACGAGAAAGCCACATGAGATGAACTGACAAGTTCCCTGAGTACACCACACTGATAACCACCTCTGCAATTTCCACTGCTGGCCTCATCTTTCTTCACCTCTTTTGTTTGTTTGTTCCAATAAAACAATCCAAACACAGAACACCAAGCTATGCTGAAAAAAAAAACACAGGTACACAAAAAAAACCTCAAAAGGAAATATTTATGAGACAAGGAAAGCTTTCTTTTTTAATCACACAACACACCACAGCACAGTACGATGGAAACCACAGCTTTCCTCGGTTTGATGTCATCCCCTTACCTTCACGTGACTGAAGTCACCAACTTTGCTGCTTTCCTGTGGATTCAGAGCTTTAGTCTCCACTCTTGGTTTGACAACCTGTCGGAAAGGGCTGGAGAGAGGAAGTCCAGTAACACTGATTCCGTCTGGAAACAGAATAAATGGAATTACTCTGGCTTGTCTAATGCCATGTTTTGTTCCAATGAATCTACATTTGTATTATCAAAGGGAGAGAAAAGACACAGAAAGTAATATTAACATTTTAAACAAAAAAAAGGCAAACCAAAGATTATTTTGTTGGTTTTTCCCTAGAAGCCAAAAATAATCAAATGAGAATACGCCAAAAATAATCAAATGAGAATACACCAAAAATTCAGAGAAGATCACAGGAAAGGATGGCAACAGCATTTGAAATATCACAACAGAGATGTCAGAGTTACTAATATAAAATTAGTTTTAACATTTACAATATTAAAATAAAAGAAAGACATTGTGGTTTTCCATGGCAGTACCCGCTCAGCTGCTTAGGATCTTTAAACTCATTTCCAGTATGAGGATTCCTTTTTCAAGTATATATTGTGGAAAATAACAGAAAATAGAGAAGTCATGTTTCTGTACACCTGCTGATGCAAAAATAAATGAAATATTCCTCATATATAATAAAGCCAGAACTAAGGTTTACACTGAAAAAGTCAACAAAAAGCTTAACAGGAATGGGTGTCCTTAGAGGAATGTCCTCAGTTTGGTATTTACTATCAGTCTGGGTACTGGCAGATAGTAAATAATAAGAGACAACATTACTTAATAGGACCTGTTATTGCCAACAACCTTGTGTAACCTGAAGCTAAATAAAGACACAGCAGCATATTTGGGTTTCTCAATCCAACCAAGGCAACATTCTAAGCACAAACCATTAAAGTGTGTGAAAATTACTGCTGAATCAAAAGCGTCAGAATAACAGGAAAATCAAAATAAGGAAGCCTTAACATACATTAAAACCAGATTCACTGTTTTTCACTATTTAGATTTGCTTCCAAAATCCAGAGAAGAGCAGAACTTTGTTGGTTTATGCTGTGCAGAGCAACTGCAATCAAAATCACCAATTAAATACAAGAAAAATCGCAGCAGACACATATAGCTAAACATATGGGAAACACCAAATTACTACCCAAAACCCAAACATATTTCCTAAATCGCTCCTATCAAATTATATTTGCTAATACCACATTCCAGTTCCATGGCTGAACTCAGATCTAGGCATGTTGAGGATACATTCCTCAAAAGGAGAAACCAAAAGAACGAGATGGAGCATGAAATGGTTTTGCTTCATTAAGATCCAATTTCACAGGTATCCAAATAAGAAAACAAAGGCAGTGCTCCCCTATTCTTTTACTTCTAGTTTCCTTCACTAACTAGTTTTAAAATGCACCTTAGCACTGAATATCCTGTGGTATCAGTTCCTGGGGGAGAGCAGGACAGGCAGGTGAGAACACCCTGCCCATGCTATGCAGCATTACTGTGAATTTTGCATGGAATAGTAGGTTTTTTCTAACTTGCACAAGAATTAAGGCACCAAACCCCTCCTCAGCATCCTTTAAAAGGCAATTGATATTAAAGCAAACATACTTATTAATAAAGCCTAAGATTCGAGGCAATAATAATACACTGAAAAGTTCAACACAGGTTGCCAACAAAACTCATTATAAATACATTTGATTTCAGGCTTGGAAATCCAGTTCTTTTTAATGAAAATTAAAAGTTTTAATGGAGGAAAAATATTCTTTTCTTGATGAATGATTTTCACTAGTTCTATATTTAGAAGAAAAATTGACACTGATTGGTGCATAAAATTGCAAATTAAAACATGAAAAGAACGAAGCATGAAAAACTGCATGGCATTACTCAGATTTTCCATTTTTATAAGGCATGAGCTTTCTTTTCTTTGAGAAAGGAATAGATAATACCTAAAAGAACATCACAGCCATACAACTAATGCCTTTCTTAATTACTTCATCTTTTAAAACTCCAGTTTATTTTCATTTTCTATGTGGAAAAAAGAAGACAATAGTTTAAACATTTTCTCTAGGAAGAAGAAATTTTGAATCTCTAAATTGTACCTGAAAAAGGAGATTTTATAGCAATGGAGACATTTATGCTGCTTCAGGATGAAAGGGAAGTCTAAGGTAACCACTGTAGTGATCAACTTTCTGTCTCAGTTCTGTGGCACTCACAGAACTTAATGATGGCAGAAGAAAACACTGAGCATCAATGAAACAGCTCACCAGAAGTTTTAAATTATTGATACTTGTATTTTTTGAGACTTCATAAGTTTTATTTTCTCTCATAAAGTTTAAAGAGATGAAGATGCTGAATCCCCCACAGTTTTCTTTCGTTCATCCCTACTGCTAAACAGCTTGAGCAGCCTTGTACTATAAAAAGAATAATTGTCTTTCTACTCTGTTCAGAAATTTTCCTAATTTCTAGAATCCACGTTGAATATTTCCATGGTAACAGCACATGACCAACACTTTTTCCATGGTAACTGCAAAAACACAGCTTGCCTTTCCAAAATCCCAGTCACTGCTGTCACAACAGAGCAAAATCTCTTACTGGCATTTCCTCTCTCCTCTCAAATATTAAGTAAATTGTCAATTTAACTTCATTAGCCACTTTCCCAGCACGCTGCGCAGAAGAATCCCACACAACTTCATATTTGAATGAGGGAAAGTGCATTCAGGGAGTTAAACATGTAGATCTACAACCCATTGACTAAGCACTGATGGAAGAGGTGGCAGGGGACAGCTCCTGTTCCATGGAATGCTGTGCTGTACAACAACCAGTGGCCTGATCCAGGTGACAAAATCAAAAACACTTTTCAAAAGGTGCATCACAACTACAGTGGTCTCAAACTCAGCGGCAAGGAAACATTTAAAAGGTGTTCCACTGATGCCAGGACATCAGAGAAGTTTGGATTCCGAGGCAGTCTACAGGTAACTGGCAATACAATGTCACACAAGATGGAAAACAGCAGAAGATTTTAGGTTGCTTCTTTCCAGAAGAACTTCATACAATCCAACAGCAGCACAGGGACCCCGAGGGGTGCAGGACAAGGAGGAATCACAGAATGAATTAAATGGAAAAGGCCTCTGAGTTCATAGAGTCCAACCTATGACTGAACACCATCACGTCAACTAGACCAGAACACCAAGTGCCACATCTTTCCCTAAACACCTCCAGGGACAGTGAGTCCACCACCTCTCTGGGCAGCCCGTTCCAAGGAGAGCAGGAGGGGCTGCAGGTCTAGAGCAGGGATCCCCTCCAGTAGCCCTGGAGAGACCCTGCTGGAGCAGGGATCCTCCAGCAGCCCGGGGGATATTCCCTGTGAGAGCTGTGGCTTCTTAAAGACCCTTCCAACCCAACCATTCTACGATTCTATGTCAGAGTTTTTGGAAAACACACAGCTTGATCATAACATATGAAAACTAAATGTCCCCTCAACCCATTTGTTTATTTTGTCAATCCATTGCCTGATAGAAATTTCAAAACAAGAAGTCTCTTGGTAGGCAACATCTCATAAGAACACTGTAACAGCTTTGAAGTGCTTTAAACATGCGGAACAACAGAAAAAAAACAACTCGAGACAGGAGACAGACTCTGCTTGCTGAACTTGAATATGCCTTTTTTTTCCTTTCTTAGAAAAAGAGAATTATATTCCGCTAAAAGTAGGCAGAGTTCTAGAAACTTGCTTTCTGCAGTGACAAAGAAGGGGGTAGCACAAGGGTAGACAGAGTTCAGGCAATGGAATCCATTTCCCCCTTTATGCTATGGGTGGGCATTGAGATGCAGCTCTTCCCACACTCAGAAACATCCTTAGGACTGTGACAGGAGAGTCCACAGGTACCAGCACACAGGCAAAGTTACTGGGAATGCATCAGCTCCCTGGCTCCCAGGAGCAGGGCACAGACGAAACGTCCATTACCTCTGAAGACAACAATTAACAATAACAAATGCACTGTCAGTAAGGATAAGTAAGTGAACTAAAACTGGAAGTTCAATTTAGAATAAGGGTGAATGCATGAAAATGAAGTGTAAAGAAATTCATAATAAAGCCTAGAGATTATTTATGCAGACTTCATTAGATGCTAAAAGTGCCTCAGCAAGGGAACAGCATAACAGGCTGGGAGGTCTATGCCTGCATGTGCCAATAATCAATTTATCGCTCTCTGACTCGTGTTGTTAAGATTTGAGGACTGAAACACCACCTCTCTACATATCTGTAGAGTGGCTCGTACAACTGATACAGGCTGAAGTCCTATGGCACTTATATATTGTTAAAAAAACCCAGCCTGTATCAGTGAAATTATGAGACAAGATTATTCATCTAGATTAAAAGGCAGTTGGAAGAGAAGAAGGTACCTTAATCTTCTGTAAGTGCTAAAGCTGATATTCAAGAAGAATTCTGTAGGAAAAGTTCTCAAAAATAAAGAATTGTTTTTGAGGTTACACAGTGATGAATTTATGGAGGACACAAAAGTGTTTGAGTTAACAAACCAAAACAAGAGGAAAAAAAACCTCATTTACTCAAATGAACAGTAAAACCAAACTGACATCTTCAAACTGCAGAGCCAAAAAAACTTCTTAGAAATGAAGTCACTTCAGAAGATTATTCTGAATTATTAAATGCTGAAAGGCAACCAAGCATAGTAACGTGGAAATGATAATACTGAAACATCTCCTAGGACTTCCATCATCACCATCAGCAGCGATACCATTATCCTAATGGAGTCCTCCAGGCTACTCAGTTTCTCAGAAGACCCATCAAGAGTCATTTAAATTCCAAAGCAGGTACCTTTGAAACAGGGAAATATATTGTCTATAAGCTGTATATGTGCAGGAACATTCTGAAGTGGATAAAATCTGGCCATTTAAGCAGAAAAGCACCAAAGTGAGTATGAAACATGCAGTGGTCTTGCATAACAATATGAAAAAATATTCAAGATCAGTGTTTTTAGAAATACGCTATTATTTCTCTGCAACCTTTTTTCCCCAGAGAAAGGAAGGAGAGACCTAAGGCATAGATTTACTTCTCTCTCAACATGTAATTAATTAGTTCCTTTGATGAGTTTATGAATTTAAATACCCTCACACCTGTCTTTAGGTTCCCTATACACAGAATAAATGAACCTTAACATTTTACATAATGAAGTACTCATTGTAGATTAATTCATTAACTTTGGAAAACATTATCCCCATGTAGCAGGAGCTTTTTTAAAAGCCTGCTTCCTACTAACAAGTTACTGTGTATAAAGCAATCCAGAAAGAGCAGCTTTTGTTCTCATCCCTTTCAGCATCAGGGAAATGCTGGATTTCAGAAATTAAGGTACAATAACTGGGAAGGAGAATCCATCATGCTCATGAGATGAGTATCCTGTTGACCTCTTCAGGACACCTTAGCAGGTGACAGAGACCTTACTGCTCCAGCTCCCCAGGCCTGGCTGTACCAAGCAGACTAAGTGTTTCCTCCTTGTCTTATGCAGTGCAACAACCTCAGAACCAAATTAAATACACATACTGACCTTCCTGGCCAGAGGACCAAGGACATACATAAAAGGAACCCTGAAGAACCCAGCTGAGGGACAAGAGATCCAAAACTTCATTAGCATTTTTAGCAAACAGCTCTCCTGCATGGATCCATTAAATCTTGGTCAACTGGCTTCAAGACACAGAGTCACAGAATCATTAAGGTTGGAAAAGATCTCCAGGACTGTCAAGTCCAACCATCAACCCAGCACCACCACCATGTTCACCACTAAACCATGGCCCCGTATTAACATGGGGTTTTTTGAACACTTTCAGAGATGGTGATTCCACCACCATCCTTGGCAGCCTCTTCCAATGCTTTCCAACCCTTTCAGTGAAGAAATGTCTCCCAATATCCAATCTAAACCTCCCCTGGTACAACTTCAGCCCATTTCCTCTCATGCTATCTCTTGTTACCTGGGAGAAGAGAATGACCCCCTGCTCATTACAACCTCCTTTCAGGTAGTTGTAGGGAGCCATAAGGTCTCCCCTGAGCCTCCTCTTCTCCAGGCTAAACACGCCCAGCTCCCTCAGCAGCTCCTCATCAGACTTGTCCTCCAGAGCCTTCCCCAGCTCCACTGCCTTTCTCTGGACACACTCCAGCACCTCAATGTCTTTCTTGTAGTGAAGGACCTGATCTTCTTAATCCTAATTAATGAAGAGTCTCTAGAACACCTGCCCATCTCTTCCAAGTGCTCGCAAAGTCATTAATTCCAAAGACAATAAGCCAAGGCAACTCAGGCTGTGACATGAACCCTAAAGGATGGCTTTAATGGGAAGTACATTCTTCTGCAGTATGTATGGCATGTTATTGGGCTGTATTTACACAAACCCAATTCCCAGCATGGAAACCTATCCAACCCAGGCATGACTGTTAGCATCTTACAAAACTTAATGACTGGGCAATAAAATGTCAAATGAAATTCAGCATAAATAAATGGGAAAAAACAATCCTGAACTCACATGTGCAATAAGAGGCTCTCAGCATATCATTACTGTTCAGGAACAAGAGCTTGGAGCTATGATTCACAGATTCATGAATCTCTCAACTCCATGTTCAGCACCAGTCAAAAAAGTAAATGACAAATTGTGCATTACTGCGTGATTATAAGGAAAGTAATATAAAGCAAAACAAAGAGCAACATTAGGTCACTACAGAAATACATAGATCACCTTTCAAACAGTGTGTACAGCCTTCCTCAAGCAAACAGAGCTGAGAGAGCTCAAAAGGCTGATGTGTGGAATAGTTTCCATAAAAGTGACAACTAAGCCATTAGGAATCTCCAGCCTGCTGTGACAATAACCTCAGGAAATGTATAAAATCATGACTGCAGGTACAATGTTTAGATTATGCACTGTTACCTCTTTCATGCAGTACAAAAACCTGGGGATACAAGGACACCAGTGAGTGCAAAGCTGCTAAAAAGTTAATTTAGCTGTGACTCCTCTTGCCACGGCACGTTGTACAGTGCTGATGGGAAGAATGAAGAATTTTAGGAAAGAGAAACCCACTAAGGATGACTAACAGTGCCTAAAACCAGAGAAACCATATTCGGCTCTGGAGGCTCCAGAGCTATCAACAGTTGGAGTCCAAAAGCCTAAAGGAAAGCAGTGTGTATGTGCACAGTTTAAAGCAAAGCAGTGTGTATGTGCACAATTTCAAGGAAAGCAGTGTCTATGTGCACAATGTAAAGGAAAGCAGTGTGTATGTGCACAATTTAAAGCAAAGCAGTGTGTATGTGCACAATTTCAAGGAAAGTAGTGTCTATGTGCACAATGTAAAGGAAAGCAGTGTGTATGTGCACAATTTAAAGGAAAGCAGTGTGTACGTGCACAGCTTTCCCTGTATTCTCCCACAGGCATCTGCTGTCAGCCAGTATCACAGCCAGGATATTGGACTGGATGGCCATTGATCTGATCCTGCACAGCCACTCATGTGGTTTTGCTTCCTTTAATCTAGAAAAACATCCAACATTTTTCTTTATGAGACAGTATAGCATCAACACACTCGAATTAGATCAGCAATTTTGATTGATAACTTAGTTTACTTTCCAATTGGATAAGTGTATCATCAGAAGCATCAGTAATCTATCCCTTCTGTACTGTGTCCTGATTACAAACAGTGTAAAAGGAAACAATTTCAGCAGCAAATGAAAAGAGATGAAAGTAACAGATGCCCTGCTAAGGGCATTACTTTTAAGAGACAAAAGTATTTTGATCATCATTGTAAATGTGGTTGGTCTTCAAAAGAAAAAGGTACCACAGCTACCTTATGATTAAAAGTCATGTCATAGTTGCCATTGATTTTTCTGGCTCTTTACTGTTTTTCACATCAGGCTCCTACCCACCTCTATAGAAAGCATAGCATCTGTGACGTTAAAAGCAATACATAAAAAATAAAGTAGCAGCTAAATTGTCAATATACTTAGCATCTGTAATAACACTTCCAAAGCACACAGAGCACAGAGCACCCACAGACACCAAAGTTCTAACAAAACACTGACGGATTCTACTCCTTTATCATCACCGAACGAGGAAAGGCTGAATTGCTTCCAGGCTTCAGTTACACAACCTTTCAGAGAAGCAGGAGGCAGAAATAATAAGGTAAAAATGTTCAAAGATTTTGTTCGTATATGGTCTCGTAAGAGCTGGATACAGGCAAACAACAGAGGCCCAAATGCATATCCCAAATCCCAAATCCCACAACCGCTCGGTGTAAATACAAGAAAAGTGTTATCTCCTCCTCCTCCAGCATTTGTCTGTATGTTATTTCTTCTGAAAAACTGCTGGGCAAGTGCAGCTCCAGAGGTTTTTAGAGACTGGGCAAATGAAGGACATATTAAATATATATATGTATGTATGTATATATATGTGTGTGTATACATATATATATATATAAAGCCTTTATGGAAGGGCATTTCCTGTCAAGGGGTTTTTCTCAAAGCCTCGTTTCCTTGGCCCCTCTCTTTTCACAATATCAGGGTGTGCTCTTCCTCCACTATCAGCTTTTTCAAAAGGTTCTAAAGTAAACCTTAGTGTAGCAACACTGTGGGGTTTGTGCAGCTAAGTCCTAAAATTTTTTTAGGATTTTTTTTATTTTACAGCAAGGAGGTTTCAAAAACAAAGAAGCCTTTTAATCATTACTAGCAATTAATATAATTTCTGTCTAAATGCATTTGCAGGATAACTCACAGAAATCAGTCCTATTCAACCTGAATAAGCTCTGCATGTAATTATGTTGATTTTTCCTATACTGAAAAAATTTATTTTTTTAAGATCACTTATAATGGTAATACATACCTGCAATTGGATCCTGGGAAAAAATCCAAATACTAATGATAATTTTTTTTTTTTAAATATAGGAATATCTTGTTTTGTCAAGTTAATTTAATCAGTGCAAATATATCAGGCAATTGAAAAAATACAGAGTAGAACAATTACTTCAGTGAGACAGTGCATTTATCATAAAAAGGAAATCCTTATTACAAGTATCTGGTAATTGTAATTCCAAGTAACTCTAATACAAGTAAACATTGAGGCTTTTGTTTTATTCAAAATAAGTTTAAGCATATGAGACTTTCTCTACAGTACAAATATTAGAGGGATTATGCCCTACACTTCAGCATGTCACTTCTGACAAAACCACATTCAGCAACAACCAAGAATTCTTCAATCTTGGATAACTAAATAATCAACCCACTATTATTTCTCTTTAAAGTCCACTAATATTTGTAAATTATTTTTCTTTGTCTTCACAAGGCAAGGATATAAAGAGACATCAAAAACACTCTGTCAAGAAAGATTTAAAAAGATAGCAGGGCAAGGCCTCGTGGTGGGAAAGTCAGGTCAGACTGTGATGCCCAGAGCTGTCACAAAAATTCCCTCTTCAATCCCTACAGCTCAGCAAAGGGTTGTCTTTGCATTACAAGACACAAATATACAAACACACAGCACCTAAGGCACAGCAATCAGAGAAGTGTTTCCCAGAAGTACAAAACACTAAACAAGGAGAAATTAAAAACTCACCATCACTGAGATCTTGCAGAAGGTTTTCTTGGCATGAAAAGTCCAGCTTCACTTTAATGTTTACAGTGAATGTTGCAATCTTTCCAGGTTTCAGAGGGAACTGGGAGAGGGTATCTTCTAGATTCCAACTCAGGAACTCCCCATACAGCTTCTCTGCATCAAAATAAGGAAATATTTCATGAACATAACCCCTCCATTAAGGAAGTTTCAGTTTAGAACTGTTGTAAAGAGTATTAATGGTGTCACGTTCTGCTTAAAATATTCAGAATGAAAGTATTAAAAATTAATGTAACACTAGAAAGACAGAGAAGTTACTGGGTACTGACACTGAAGTGGAAGCATGTAGATCACAAAGCTCAAAACATGAATTTGAGTGAAGATCACTACCAGAAAAAAAACATTGCACAATAGGCACCATTAAATATACACTTCAAATGCAGCCTGAAGAGGTGCTAAATGTTCATGTAGTTTTGAATCATACAGACTTGAACCCAGGAAGTGTCACATCAGTGCAGAGAACATTTCATCAAAATATTACACCAAACTAAATCAGTTAAATTTCTGAAGCACCTGTAACATCATTATTTAGTTACTTATTGAGCAATGGAGAGGTTTAAAAAGCCTATTTGTTTTCATTTTTTTTATAAAGCCCTTTCTTAAAGCTGAGAAGTATAAAGTACACAAGACCCAAACATGAAGGTGCTGCCAGACAGGATTAATCTGTTTTAAAAGATATTTGTTTAATGAATTATTTATCACTGGTCTATATCAGATGGGGCATCTGTAATTATCAGCTCCTCTCTTCTAAGCCCGACATAATATGAGGAAAAAACCCCCAATATTTACTGTTCATCAATACTAGGTGGGGGCTTCTGTTCTGGCCAGGGTCAACTACCCCATCCATAAATTCATTAATATTTGCAAGACTATACAACGCTAAACACTACAAAAACAAGTCTATTAATACATAAAATAAGCATGATGGTTTGACTGGGAGAATCCTAAAACTATATTTATTAATTTATTGTAGCAAAGCATACTATCTGCAATGTACACTGGAGAATTCTTCTAAAGGCTCAATTAAACACCATTTGAGCACAGCTTTGCAAAACAGGGACCACTGAAAGTCACACAGTTCATTTCTGCTTCATCCCAGGCTACTGGATTTAAGGGCACGTTGATCTGAGGCATCTCAGAACCTTTCCAAAACCATCACTTAAGATCCATGTGTGAGAAAACAGGGTGGGCAGACTGCCCAAACAACTACAACCTAGAACAAAGGATCTCTCAAAAAAAGAAATTAGAATTCCAAATTATGTTGATTTGCTCAGAAACAACTGTCCCCCTTCTAGGGAAGGAGGAAAAAAAAAGGAGAATTTTTTTTCATTAACTACCTAAACAACAACAGCCTTGCCTGAAATATATTTTTCTCACAGACCATCAAGTGTTGTCTTTTGCCTTTTCACATCAAATCAATAGTACAGACTTCTTTACAAGGACAAAGATGAGGTAAAAATAAAAAATCCTAATAATTGTGTCCCTAAAGTCACCTCCATCTCATCTAATGATTTAGTTGTAACGATATCACTGTTCTGATTTTCTTCTATTTTCAAGAAAAAAAGGGGGCTTAGTAAGTACAGCAATCTCTACACCCTTTTCCTGACAAGTAGAAAACCAATATACTGAAGAAATGTTTTCCATCAGCATGAAAAATGAAGGACATATCCCAAGCACTTGAGCACCAAACTGTTTCCAAAATGTGTTTTCATTAACTAGATTTATTTGAAGATACTACAAGTAAAAAGACTTTTGAAGTGAGAATAGCCCTTGCAGATACTCTCTAATTAACACCTGTAATTACAACAGAAGATCTAAATGCCTGAGCCAAAAGTTAAGCTGCAGAGAATGATCTTGTTTAGGTTTATCTGACACTAGTTTACAGTTTAATAATGTTCACCTTGTTCAGGAATCATTATTACAGTAAATTATACTTTGGCTTCAGGCCTTTCAGTTCAGTGGGAGACTAATTTGAGGCAAGCCTGCATTCAGTTCTTTCTGGAGTCTCAAAGTTGTGTTTAGCAAACACCTGATGACACAAGCAATTGTTAGTCAAGAGCTTATTTCATCATTTTACTGGATACTAAATCACTAAACTTGTAACAAATACCATATAACAGCTTACCCACAACCCAATTTTAGCCTACTCTAAGCCAATCTAACTCTTAATAGATTTTAAAGTCTGCCAAAAAAAAAAAAAAAACCCCACACTGACATTTTGCATAGAGAAACTCAATAGAAAGGTCTTTTGGAATCCCAAGAACCTCAATTCCTCAATTCTTTTCAATCTTAAGTCCCCTGGTAAATCTGGCTTTTTGCACCCCAAAATAACTATCGGTTCTGAATGCACAGGCATTGGCATTTATACATCTTAACTTCCCCAAGACCTGGTAGACAGCAATGAACCTGCAGGACTTGTTACATTCTTCACAATGTAAATGTATCCAGCACAGTTTCCTCTTGAAAATTAGCAACTATCCCTAACAGGAGGGAAAAAATGCTCTAAATTCATGAACCATTTGCTCTAACGAGTGGAAAAAAGAGTTAGTAAGAATCATGCAAGATCCTGATCTCAGTCAGTCAGTGGGGGCAGAGAGGAAAGACTTGAGCTGGGAAACCCAGACAGTGAAAGCAGGGCAGCTGGATGGGGCTGGATTACCCACACTCCTTGTCCTGCCTTCATAAGGATGTTTGGACTGACTGGACAAAAGCCTTGCCTGCATTCACCACTCTCCATGGAACACAACCCCACTCCAATTTGAGTTTATTTTCTTTAGCCAAAAAAAGGTAAATAGATCTATTCCAGGATATTCACAGTTCTTCAAATGGGTTGCCTGGACCTCAGAGCAGACTTTTCATTTATGGTCTGGCACAGCAGAACAGCTGAGGGTGCGGGTAGATGTGTTCAAAGACCATAGGAAAAATACAGGTGAACTTATTTCTCTATTTAAATTGCAGAGGTCAGTCACTCCTAAGAAAGGTCAGTGAGGTTTTCCTTCCCGATTCAGGCTCATTCAGCATGTGTAGCTGGTCTAAAGCTAAGAATGCCTGGTGTCCTCTTCTCAGGGCCTCAAGATGAAAACATCAGTGTTACATTTGCCCTTGAATGGATCAAATAGTTGGGTTCTCAAAGCCTTTGGACTGCACTCCCTAATTGAGACATAACAAGCCTCTGACAAGAGTTGACTGGAGCCAAAGGGTGGGAAAGGCATCCAGCTTTGCATGTCATCTTTCCAAAAAAAGGACTGAACTGGTGAGGGACAATACGAGGTAACACAGAGTTCACCTTGACAGCGTGTATGTGTGATGTCCAACCCAAAGACACCACAGCCTGGCAGACTGAGTGGTGCAATGAGACACTAAGAGCCATGACAGACGTGTCCATTGTGGTAGCATGACAAGTCCCTTTTGCTGATGTGCCTCAGGACCTGCTCCAATAACACACAGCTGCTAAAGGACTCAAAAACCCTGTGATGTCCTCTCTGAACTGCACAGGGTGAGCTGCAAGTTCTGCTCATTTATCTGAGGGCCAGAGTGGAAAACCCAGAGAACTGAACCTGAAAGTAACAGAAGAGAGGAAGTAAGGGAAATCAAGTGTGAAAGTCTGATCTCCAGAGGTTCTCATTAGCAAAACACCACTGAAAACAATGCCAGAAAAGTCGGCTTCCTCCAGAAAAGCGATTGACTGTAACAGCTAACATAACAAATGAGGGAGGTCAGGTCACTAATCCCATCCAGTAATTCCGAAAACAACAAAACAGAATATTTGCTATTTTGCAGCATTCATCTTTGTGCTAAAAGCTGTAGCCCCAGAAAGAAGGTAGGGAAATGGAAGGCAGGCAGGTAGGCCTGCAGCAGCTGCCAGAGATTTACGAGGAACTGCTAAGACTGAAAGAACCAAAGCAAATCAGGTGAAACAAGGGATGACTGAAAGCTCTTTTTATTTGGCTGAAATCAGACAATTTCTCATGGGCTCCCAAGGTGGCAGGCAAGCCATGGTCAGGCACATGAAAGGGTCTAACAGCTCTCAAGAAGATCTTGAGCAGCTTAAATCACAGGCACATTTCATTGTACCCCCATTAGTTCCATGCATGTAGCATTCACTGACCAAAAGCAGCTGCTGATGCTACAAATCTTTTGTTCCCTGTTCATCACCAGAGTCCCATGGCACTGTACAATGTTTTGTACCAATTTATGATCATAACTAAAATGGAACAGAGCCCATGAAAAAAGGCAAAGGTCCATCCCCAACACATGAATGACAGTGACCTGTTGGAACGAGTCCAGAGGAGGCCACTGGAGCCCCTCTGCTCTGGAGACAGGCTGGGAGAGCTGGGGCTGCTCAGCCTGGAGGAGAGAAGGCTCTGGGTAGATCTTAGAGCCCCTTCCAGTATCCAAGGGGATACAAGAGAGCTGGAGAGGAACTTTGAGGGCATGGAGTGACAGGACAAAGGGGAAGTGACAGGACAAAGGCTTCAAACTGACAGGGAGCAGGTTTAGATTGGATACTGGGAAGAAATTCTTTACAGGTGAGGGTTGTGAGGCCCTGGCGTAGGTTGCCTGGAGGAGCTGTGGCTGCCCCATCCCTGGAAGTGTTTGAAGTCAGGCTGGATGGGGCTTGGAGCAACCTGATCTAGTGGAAGGTGTCCCCGCCCATGGCAGAGGGGTTGGATCTTTAAGGTCCCTTCCCACCCAAAACCATGATTGATTCTATGATCCTTTGCAACACCTACATGCAATCACATTTGAAATAACATAATTATTACATGCTTAATGTGGACCATCAGTTCTTTGCCATGGACAGCCTTTTCCAGCACTTCATGCTGTACCCACAACACAGTCGTGTAAAAAGTTACAGTTATTTCAGGCTGTATTTTCCTCCATTAACATGGCTCACCTCGAGCAGACAGTTCCAAATACAGGGGTGCATTTCACTTCTGTGAGACAGTGCAAAAAACTGAAGATTCTGCCTGACAGGACCTTGGATCAGCTAATCCCAAGTTCTGCTTTCAAAAGAAGGTTAAGATGATTTCCAGCGGTCCCTGCCCATATGGACATTTATGATTCTGTGATTCTGATGGCAGAGTTCTCACACTCTCTGAACAAGTATCACTCAGTGCATCTCAAAACTCACTCTCATTTCTCTTTTTCTGAGACAGTGATTCAAGTGTTATGTATTTGAGGATGCATGCTTATAGCTTATTAATCAGAAATTTTCCTTTTTCTGATAAAGAAACATTTCATATAGAGAAAAACAATACAAGATCCAGTACAATTAGAAGTTTTACTAAGCTCATAGCTGAGTCTATCAACTCTTCTCCTTTTTCCCCATTGTTTTTAACAAAAGTTGTAATGGAGAGATGATTTTAAAGTTGACATGAGTCTCTTTTTCAACATTCTGAACCAATTAACTGTGTAACATTCCGTACAAAGAGTCTGAATAACATGTGACTCGTGTGCCCATATATTCCAACATTTAATACATTTCATTACATGACATTCCCCATTTGAGTGCTCTCTTTGGTCCTTCCATCCCATACATCCAGCACCCGGCACAGGAGGAGCATGTTGGAATTACTGAAATAAGAAACAGTAAGTCATCATACGTTTCAACTTGTAAAATTATTCCTGGTAACAAGTCTCAGACCGAAAATCTATTTTGAGATGATTGGCAACTCCTATTCTCTCAGGTTGCAGAGAAGAGGATACTCTGTTATAAAAAAAGTCATGAGCTTGAATACTGAAATGAACAAAAATCACAAGATATCACACTGCATTTTAATGCTCTGGCACTGACAGAATAAAACCTGCAATAAAATAAGGTATTTCTACTGTCAGTAAAGATTATGTTGCTTGTCACCTGTAGTTCTTCTGTTAATATCATTCTCATAACAATGTCTCAGAGGACAAACCAAAAAAAATAAAATACATCACAAAACAAAAGCAGGATTCACCTATCCGACTACTTTTTAACACTAACAAGGAAAGAGTATTTAAAGAGAATTAAGTGTACACAGGGAATGTGCTGTATTTCTTCCACAGCTTCAATTATTCTTTTAACTCACAATAGCTTGTTTTATTTACTGCCTTGCCTTTTGAAGTCTTCTATCCCATTTTTTTCTTATTGCTCACTGAGTAAGATAGAAATATGCTTATTTACTTCCACTCCCTCAAGTAGGACAACATTACTGCTAATGATAATTTATTTAATGAACTAATCAGCATATTTAGACATAAGGAGAAAATAATTTAGACACAATATTCTTCCTCTTCACTAGCTATTGCCTGAGGAATTTCTCCCCAAGTAACACTAAAAAGAAATACAGATTTCCAAAAAGCAAGTGACCTTTTGGCACACAGATGGTTCTACAATTTCTTTCATTTTCTTTCTATATTTTCTTACATTCTCTTTCATTTCTATGGTAAAATCGAACTGAATTATATCAGTTCTGTAACAAGGACTATGATATTTAGTCTAAACTGAGCTGGAAGTCTAAAACAACTAGTTCCCCTTTTATTAGAGAAGAGATCACTATTACTTCTAAATATATATCTGCATACATACCCTTGGTGTTGACTGTTTTCGCTGTGACCTCCAATTTCTCCAGTGGTTCTGTTCCAATATTTTCTAATTTAATGATGAGCTGCTGGGTCTCTCCATTGTAAAGCTGGACAGACACATTAGTGGAGATTTCATCCCCTGAAGAAGGCTGAAGAGTATGAGCAGACCTACAAAACATGACACACAGACAAACAAAATACTGTGAGGAAAATGTTAAAAGGCCATTCGAGTCACTCTGTTAACTATTCTTTGAAGACTCAGAAACTACAGCTCTGAAACTCTGAAGATTAGATATAATTTTCCATTCTCATTTAAGTCAGGGTCATTTCTTAAAACAAAAGTTAATAATTTAGGCATAAGACAAGTCAGATTTCAAACAGTATAAAATATGTATTCCTAACTGTGAAAGCTGGTTAAAATTGCTGCAGAAACTGTAAGAAAGGGAAAAGAGGAAAAAAAAAAAAAAAAGAAGAGCAGGTCATTAAAATGAGCCGTTTCAGTGGACAGTGCAGGGCATGGACCTCATGGGAGAAAGTCCCTGTGTGAAAGGTGAAATAGTGACTAGAAATGAACTCTTTAGAGCAGGAAGGAGGGATGGAGGTTGCAGAACAAGACAGATGGGTAGAGGTTTCTGACTGGATTTTTTGTGCCAATGCAAAGTGGTCAGAAGGACAAAAAGAAAAAAGCTACTGAGATTAATGACCAATAAATCCGTCAGTAAACCCAGGTTCAGTAACTTCCTTTGGCAGGTATTCCTGCTATCCTTCCCTTCCATCCTGTCCTCCCTTCCCACAAGATGAGCAGCCTCCACAAACAGGAGCAGATTTCAGTCTTTCAGAGCACATCCATGACAAGGACTGGAAACAGGGATCTTTTGATCATTTCAAATGTACTGTCACGGATCGTTATCACTGCAGCACTCTGGAATCTGGGCATGTGGAGGGACAGGAAAGAAGGAATTTCTCCCTTCATTCTTAGACAAAAGTATCAGGGAATTGCATCCAAAAAAGCAAAACAAATGGTGCTTTCAATTGCTGTATAAGTGGACATGTAGTTATCAGTGATTCTTCTTCTGGATACAATATTTTTCTCTCTTTTTCTTTCTTCTGTAATAATTGCATCTGCACTAATAATGATTCCTGGATGGGATTGGTAACACACAGGATTTACAAACAGTAAATTCTTATTACTTATTACAAAGAGTAAAGTCTTATGGACTCCTCTTTGCCCATAAACAAGGTTTTGAGCATAACAGTATTGCACAGTTATTTCAGTATATTAGGAAGTGCTCAGCAAGAGAAAAACCTCTAACACGTGGCACACTGGCCTGCAGCTTCCAAACTTTCTGTTCTCGTGAAAATAACTGATATTTGTCCTAGTTTATCCATACTAGAAGTCTTTCATTATTTTATTTATAAATTTGCCATTTCCTTCCCTCAATTTTCATACTTTATAGATTTTTTCCAGCAAGACTGTTTTACTCAGTATTATAATAATTCAATATATTAATAATATATATGGCACATATATATATTTAATATATGGCACAAATACATTTATTAATTCATAATCTGTATATAATGTATAAATATAGATACATATAGCAATCAAAAAATATACAAATAAAATTATTCCCAACTCACAGCAAACTTCATTGCAGCTCCTGCTAAACTGTGCTTATTTAATTGATCTCCCATAACACAGATCAACAAAAAAAATATTTTACAGTTCTAACAAGACATTATGATCTGCCTAGGAAGGCCTGGAATTACTATTGATATGACTATTCCACCGAAATTACTATTAGGTCAGTTGCTGAAGAAATTATAGGCAGTTATAAACCCTTGTCATTTCAAACAAACCTTTTCCTACATACCAGCAGTTTCTCCTACAATGAAGCAAGGCAATCAATACAGCAGCAAGATTATCTCAAATACTTCCAAAATAAATACATTTTTCAAAAAATTAAGAAAAGTCAGCTCAGCTCCAGCAGATAATGTTCCACATTATCAGCTGAACATATACTGAGAAAGAGCAGATATTATACACATTTAAGAATATTTGCAAGTCCCTCTGTATTTCAATAGCCAATATTAATTTTGATTACAGCCAAACCACACAAATTCCATCTCTAGCAGAATTTTTAGAGGGAATTTACCAACATGTAACCCAGCTGAAGCATTTTATTATTTTACTGTCTTCATTAGGGTATTACTTTCATAGTTTTGTAATACAGTGCCATCAACATGGCCCATCCCACACCAGGAAAGAAGAATTCAGCATGGAAAAATTGGAAAGTCATGGTAAAGAACACAGTAAAATAAATTTAAAGAAATTTACATATATATACACACATATATAACTTTGTATCATACAATACTGATGATCATCCTAAGGATCATAAACAGAGCTGAGGTTTTCCAAACAACAGAACAACCCCTGTGGCACTTGAGCTATTAAGGCAGTAAGTTACAAAAGGCTGTTTTCTGCTCCACAGCTAAAAGGAATATTGTTTAAAAAAAAGAAAAAATATAACAAAACAAAAAATACCCCAAAACACTGTACTTTTACAACTCTTTGCTAAACAGCAAATGGATGGCAGGACTCTGAGATACCATGATCAACACGTAGCTTAGTAGGTGAATGGTCTTGCACCTTGAAGAGCTTCAGAAATGGAACTGAATCAGTGCCTTGCCAGGTGTCTCCAAAATCCAGGAATTAGTCAGGTACCTTCTTCACAAAAAAACAAAAAGCTCACAAAACCCACATGAACAACCCACATATGGTACTACTGTGTCCTTTTGGGTGACTGTATAAGGAAGGTATTTTAGTTGATTCTTCCTGTACCTCTAAAACCTATTTCTTCTGTATTATGGTATTGAGTTTGGGCCCCTCCTGAACCACAGAAATACTGATTTATTGAAGCAAGTCCAGAAGAGGGTTGTCAGAATGATGACAAGGTCAGAGCATTATACAGGAGTTCAGGTTCAAAGAGCTGGGTTTGTTCCATTTGAAAAAAAAAAAAGATCTAACATGGATTACCTCTTTACTTCAAGATTCTATGAATTTGTAGCCTTTAAGGGATTAGTTCTTTTAAAAGCATGACTTTAATAATGACTAACCATTACACTCCCTCAGTTAATTAAATCTCAAAATATTTTCTATGAAATTCTATGGTTTCAGGAAGTGAAAAAAAAAAAGGTTTATATTCTAGACCAAACAGCACAGGTATAGTTTATGCCTTAGGTTACTAAATCACTGATTGCATATGATCGAGGTTTTATTCAGCATGTGAGTAACATTTAAATAAAACCACATAAAATTACCATTCAACCTAATTTCTCACCTTGGAAGGGAGGTGCTGATCTGCAGCCTTGGCAAAGCTGGAATGACTTCAACAGTGCAGCCATTGGTCTTCACTCCCGGCAGATTGTCCAGAAGGCAATCACTGAAAACTCCAAAAACTGAAGTATGGTAACCTGATGTTTAGAAGACAATACCAGCATGTTGTGAATTTTATTTTTTTCTTGAAAGGTCTAAAAGTACTCAGATTACTGGGAGACTCTTCACAGCACACAAAATACGTACAAGGTTCATTTATAACCACACAACGACACACAAACAACACACATGTACAGCTCTGCACCTGTGACATGTCAAATAAAAGAAATTGTTAAGAGCCTGTGATTTTTGTGCATTCAGTGCAATATGGTAAGTTCTGTGGAATTTTTCACAAGATCAACATCACAAGTCACAGTATAGAGACCACTATTTTATACCTCATCATCAATTCACCGGTGTACATAAAACGTGTTACCCTTCAACATACGTTAACAATTTCCTATTTCCTCCAAAAAATATTTATAGGAAAGAATCTCAACTGTATCCAGAAGGATAAAAGAATCCTAAAGGAAATTATTAGGGAAAAAAATATACATGCATACACACAGAGACATCTGCCAAGAAAGACTTACCCTCTAAAAGTTCAATTTAGTAGAAAAGTACCTGTGCACCCAATTCCTTACCAGGCAATATTTATGAGTTATATCTGAAGGAAAATTTGATACACTGACACACAAACAGCTGGCAAGTACCAAAATCAACTCCTCTACTTGCAGCACATTTTTAGTATGTGGGACTAAAAGCAGAAAACTACAGCACGAATGTTCTGAATGCTTTGATGCTGTTCTGTATTTACTGAAATAGTTTCTGAAAAAAAAATCAAATGAAAAATCGTTTTACAAGCAGACAGAAAAGCACTTAAGAAAAACTCAGCGAGAAAAGAGTTTCTTCACGTTCAAAGCCATCTTCTTGTAGCGTTTAGCTTTATTAAAATGGTTCTTGTCCTGTAACTTTGGATTCCAGGAACACATACCTAAAATTTTTTGTTGGTAAGATGATTCAGTCCTACTATGTGATGAATCCATCATCTCCACACATAGCTCCTTTTCTAGGAGACTCAGCTGCTTATCTTCTGAAAAAGCTCTTAAATTTTCTTACTTACTACAAACAGAGTTTTATTTAGGCTCATTAATGAAACGATATCTCGTCTGCAATAGACTACACACACAGGCTAAATTGTTTCTACAAAAGCAATCTGCAAAAATTTCTGTAATCTTGCATGAACACGATTAATTAAGAAAAAGAGAACCGCAAGATTATCTTCTGCATTCTCAGGAAAAAGTTCAAGTAATCCTCCTCAGAAGCTTTCCAAATGAAAGCATTAATAAAGGGGAGTTGGAGTTCATTATCCTTCCCCTTTCATAGATGAGATACTGTAAGAATGTGTTTGTTACTGCTGCTGCAACCAAGTGATTTATCAGGCTGTTTTTAATGAAGTCTAGCACAGAAAAGAGCTGTCCTTTTTTCTTGCTTTTTTTCTTTTACTTACGGAGGAGAATTCAGAGTGGGGAATGCATACATGGCATAGAAACTCATGCAATCCACAGGGGGGTAAAACATGAGTTGTTTTGCTCAGGAAAGAGTGACTGGAGACACTCCTTACCATTGACAGTGATCTGCCCAGTGGTTTGGGGAACACCAACAAGAGTCACAGGATAGAGACCAGATTCTGCTGGCAGGGAAAGAGCTGCAGGAAGAGATTCGAATTCCACTCCAGTTGTCAAGAGACCCTGAAAAAGCCACATTGCACAGATAAATCCATTATGACACACACTTACCTTTTTATGCTATATACTTATATTTTAATCCCTTGCTTTGCATCACCCAAAATTTTATGATTTATTCCGATTTGCTCACAGCAGTTATTTTGGGTTTGAGGTTGCAGTGACTGCAGCGTGCAGCCAGATTTGTATTCAACAGGGAAACGAGTTTCAGGATCTGAGGTGGGAATGATGTATGAAACACTAATAAAAATTAATACCCAAGAATAGCAAAAAGAGTCAGTGATATCACCTGCACGGTGCTGTTTTGTGCCTACATTTAATCATACCTGTGACCTTACTTATGCATTTGATATATTTTGGACAGTGGAAATCAAACATCAACAGCAGCTCTTGCTTAGCTTTAATTATCCAGCCAGAAAATATTTTCTATCGGGAAAATTTACAGATAACAGAGCAAGTCTAGCTTTACTGTCCAGCCTAAACATCTCAGTGAGTTGGAATAAGACATTCATTTTGCTAAATTGATCCCCGCTCAAGCCTAGATGCCTGCAGTTACTCCCTTAGTGTCAGAGAAATCTTTCAGCATCCTAAATTTAAAACATGGCACAAAACAAGAAATTAAGCAGAAAAAAAATGTATTTAGGAAACTTTTAAACACAGCATTACTGTCCTTAGTAGGCTGGGGCTTTTCTCTAAGCTCAGTTAATGAATTTAAGATGCTTGAGCACAGAATGTGCTGTTACAAGTAAGAAATTTAATGCTGGAAAGCATGTAAATCCAAGTTACCGTTTGTTTTTGTATACACATATATATTTATTTTTATGTTTAAATAAAGATGCCACACAAATATCTCCACCAATTAATGCAGCAAGCACAACTGGATTAAGTCTCAGCTTCATGAGAACTCAGAACTCTGTGAAAGAGGAACCTTTTATTTTTGTAAAGACAGACGAAAAAACTCATGGTTTGAGCCACAGAAAAACTCAGAGCTGAAGACTGAAAAAGAAGTTCAAGCAGCAGCAACATTACCTGCACAGTGCCAGAAAAGCAGCATTGCTTCCCTCTGAAAACACCTCTGACTGCCTGGTTTATAATTCAACTGAGTTTTAAAGGCTGAACCTCTGCTGCTCCTGTCAGCTGTAAAGGGAAGCCAACCCTCTCTGTTTCTAGTTCTTGTATAACTTGTATAACAAGTAAAGAAATGCAAATGGCACTACCAGAATTACCCAGCCAGTGACTGACACTGGACCTGTCATGGACATGAAGTCTTCAATGGCCTGACTCTCACTGGGACTAACCCCCAGTAACTCTGCTTCAAGCAATTCCTAGACAGGAACCAAAATCAAGCCACCAGCACTCAAAAACTGAACAAAATTGAAAGCCATTCTCAGAATTTCTTCCCTCCTTGGAAGGCAGTGCCTTCTACAAAACTGACAAACTACTCTCTCTGTAACAACTGAAGGAAATGCTTTTCACCTAAGATTTTTAACAGCAAGGTCCTAAACACACCAGAAGCTTGAGAAAGCAAACCAAGCAGGTTTGACAGGTTCTTAATTTCTCTTCTACTCAAGATCTGAAGTCACCAAGATTATAATATATCCAAAAGCTATAAAATCTTTCATTCTAGCAGTGACTTCTTCGTGGACCTGACATTCTTGAGGCAACACTGAATTCAACCAAAGCTACTCTTGCTTTGTGGAAAGCTGAGTTAGAGAACTCTACCTGCTGCACAAAATGCAATTTCATCATTTTACTTGAGTTATAAGGAAATACTCTGTCAAACCCCCATTTCTACTGAATTTTCATTTTCTTCCAGTTTCATGTGGAGACTTGAGCTGTCAGAAACAATCCACAAAAACATAAGTAAAACCTAATTTTATCTTCCTATATATTCACCACCCTGTGTATGAGAGCACTGACACTGTTTGATTTCCACATTAATCCTTCCAGTGGGATTCACCCCACAGAAACAGGGTGAACATTCACACTTTAATACTGAGGTAGCCTCAGCCTTCATGCCAATTGTTCTGCTTTTGCTTTGGCTGAAGCAAATCTTAGAACATAAACAAAAAGTGACCCCACACACACTCTCCAAAACTCACTTTTGGAACAGGTAAAGGCTTTGTAAGGTTATTTTAGTCTAAAAAAACCCCTGAATTATCACTTAGCCAAGTATTCAAATACATTTTAATTATTCAGGATTCACCTCAACTAAAAACTTTCATCGAAAGGACTTAAAGTCCCACAAAATCAATGATAAAAAAAAAAACCTCCAATGTCTTGTTTACTATCAGCTACAACAAATGTAAATAAACAGAACTGACAGGGCCCCCTAAGTATTATCCAAAGCAAACCAGGAAAACAAAGATTTTCTAGAGAACAAACACAATGCAAATGCCAAAACACCTCCACAAAGCACATACGATGCCTGGACTAGAAACTAAAGAGCTTCAAGTCCATTAATACAAAAAGGAGAAGGCAGCATTTGTTTCCCTCATTTTTCGTTTTGCTGTTCAGTAAAACTTCCAGTTTTTAAAAAATTAAAGATATTAAGAAAGCATTCAAACTCACCGAAATGGAAAAAAAAATCAATATAAACATCAACTAGGCTTCAGACTTACAGACATAAATTGAAATCAAGATACTTACCCTTAAAACTTAACCCAGACCACTAAGTTTTAAAAGACAGTGACATATCTGGAATGTCGGAAAGACATTTTCAAGATCACTGTTTGCTGAACTGTACAACTCTGCAATATTTGCCCAACATTGCCCTCTGGTGCCTGAGATGTTGCAGTTTAGCACTGAAAATCTAATCAAGGCTCAAGTACTCTCAGATTCTTTACCTAAACACATCAGCCATGCCACCAAAAAAAAAGGAAATGTGTTACATTTCTTTTCCTGACAGTCTTATACCTTATTTCAAGTCATATTTAGTAATCATTTAGTAATCAGGGCTCTTTCTGACCCTACAGGAAAAGATCACCATATATTATGTTTCCTCCAGGGAATATATGAATCACACACAGAAAATGTTTACATTTCTTTGTATTCTTATAAAACAATTGAAATTGTCTTAGAGTGAATACATGCATGCTTTTATCACAGCATGCCTTTCAATCACTTCAAATCTCAATTTAGCTTTAGAGGAACAAAACAACTTGCACGTAAATGGCAGCATTTGGAGATGTTGTTAAAATAACGTGAGTATGGAACTGCTTTTTTTAGGCTTTACTTACCAATCCCAAAATGTAATAATTCTTTTTTTAAAGCAACACTGCCTTCAAAGTTAGTTTTCATGCTGAACATACTTTTATACCATGTTGTCAAATACTTTATGCAAAAATTGTCAATATTTATTTAAAAGTGAATTTTCCCTACTATTTCTAATAAGGTTATTTTAGGCAGACCTAGAAAAACACCAAACACAACCAGTTTTATTCGTCTTCCCTTTCACCTTTTTGTGTACATTCTTGCCCAATATAGTCTCTATTAAATGTAGTTTAGCAAGAAGTAAATATTCTCACCAGATGGCAGAAACAGTAAAAGATGTGAACTCAGGAAAGAGCAGTTCATGGAAACAATTTACACAATCACAGGCCAAGTTATGGGACTGAAGATACATATAGATTTATCAAAATTTTAGATGGTATTTTTAAACATCAGCATATAGCTCTTGGCTAATAGCACAGTTTTGAAGTTTAAAAAAAAAATGTAACAGCCATTCTTAAAGCATCTTTAATCAAAATACCACACTTGATTGTGTACAAATAAATACAGGCCCCAAGCAGAAAGAGAACTACAGAACAAATACTTTTTTTTCTTGAAAAATGACTTAACACTATAAATTATAATATTCCCATGGTTTGGGGTAGTATTTTTTAGTTTCTTGATATTTATTTATTAAATATGGTTTACACTGCCTGTAGATCTTGTAGTTTTCTTAAAACCATGGCTGCATTTCCTACAATAAGTGCAGAGAAAATGCTTTCCCTCAACACATAACATTGCCTCAAAATTTCTCAGCTTTGGCTTTTTGTTTTCTTTTTTCTTTTAATATGAAAACTGAGAAACAAAGAGGAAAAAGTAGTTAAAATCTTAGAGAACTTAACACGCTTTGCAGTGCTTCTTCATATGCATTTGATTTTAATATATCTCCCCAGAGTGTACCATGATTTACTGCTTTAAACATTTATCTCAAGATACAAAATAAATCCCCTGGCGATTTCCCAGAACTTTTTGGGATTGTTTTGAAGGCTTAAAAAAATGAACATCATTTTTTTTCCTGGATGGAAAACTGCAGTAGCTGCAAAAGGGATGGAGATCACTCACATACCTGAACAAGTCTGTACAGAAATCAATACTCCTGGGAGAAAAAGCCAAGTGATGTATACACTTATTTACAGCTGAACATCCCATCTCCTGGGAACTTGGGCTCCAGCACCAGGAGAGCACAAATATTCTGTCTGATGCATCACAGTCACAGCTACTCAGGCTCATTTTTGTCTCTCTCTCATTGTGCTGATTTAAGGTACCTGCTGAGTTTTATTAAAGCCTTTGGTCTGATCACCCTCACGATCTCCTCTACTTCACTTTATTGACTAAAGTACACAGTTGTTGGACCTAATCACTTCCACATTCCGCATTTTCATCTGCCATTTTGCACTACTGCACCTTCCAGTGGATCAGCCTTCTAACTGTATGGACAACACAGAAAGAGAAAAAGAGAAAAGGAATAAAGAAATGGGACAGGCATGAAGCGTCTAAATAGAGCCCCAAATCAGGAATACACGTGACAGGACATAAACAGCAAGAACAACAATAATGGGCCAAGAGCTCTGAGAACAATAAAATGAAATAACAAAAAAAAAAAATCAATTTTTCAGGGCTTACCATCTGAGCAACACTGATCAAAGTCTTGTGCCCAAAGTCTCATGTCAAGTCTAGAAATTCAATGCCTTTTACTTAAGCACACCTCAATTAACCTACAAGTACTCAGCATTAATTCTTCAAATAATGAAAAAGCTCAAGGAGCCTTTCCATGGGTTAACAGCCTGTGCTCAATACTAAGTTGTTTACCATCACAACTTCCATCCATAACAAATAGAAAGACACAGTAGGAGAAGTACCATGGTAAGAGCTGGGATCTGACAGTTCCAGAATTCATTTAACATGAAATGAGTAATCTGTCAGAACAACAAATCTAAACTGTAAGGTGAGGAAAAGGGGAAAATTAGAAAAAAGGAGTAAGACTACTATAGATTTCAGGACAGTGACGTTGGTGAATGGTGGACCCTGAAAAAGGTAAAGGAAAAGGAAATCAAGCAACAGAGAACTCAAAGAACAGCCAGTGATTGCAAACAAGCTTGAAGGAGTAAGTTATATTGGAAAGGTGAGGTGCTGAGGCAGGCAGAAGGAAAAAAGCTGTGGGACAAACAAGGTGAAACTGCCACTAAATGACAGAAGAGGATATGCTTGCTATGAAACTGAGTCTGTGAGAGTAAATAATCTGAAAGAATGTGATACGTGATGAGAAATCAGACAGGAAAAGGAATATGGGGACTGCAGGCATGGGTACGTGTTAATAATAAAACAAACCATTTTAAAATATTAAACAATACTCTGAATTATTTAAATAAAAACAAGGAGCTTATTCTCATGATAAGGTAATAACTATTCCCACATTCCATATAGCTCACAGATGAGACTGGAAAATCAGAGCAATTTAGGCTGCAAGCCCTCTTGCTGAGCCCAGTGTTCAGAACAGGGGCAACTTTGGTTGTAGTTTAGGTTTTTTACTGTCCTTTACACTCAAGTTTCAAAGATTTCTAAAGATGGAGATCCCACATTCTCTGTGGGCAACCAGTCCCAAAGAATGATCACCCTCATGATAGGAAAAAGGGATTTTATTTATTTTTTTTTTTATTAGGAAGGTTTTCCATGGCTGCAGCATGTTCACTGACTCTCACCCTTACATTGGGCACTTCTGGGAAGAGCCTGGTTCTGTTTTCACTGCACCTTCCCATTTTGGGATGGAGGAAAGCAGCAGGAATTACCCCAGTATTCATCTCTTCCCCAGCCTGAGCAGATGCAGCTCTTTGAGCCCGTCCTCATCTGTCCCGTGCCCCAGCCTGTCCACCCCTGCTGACAGAGCTGGGCTGACCCCAGGACACTTCTGTTGTGTGGGGAGCTCAAAACTGGCCGGGCTTCTATAGACATTGTCTCTCAAATTCCAAATCAAGGGGAATAATGACTTCCCTCAACTTGCTGGCTACAGTCTTGATACCACAGACAAACCAACGAAAATCAATTCATTTCTCCCAAAGAGCTGACATTGGGGCAGAGCAGAATTTCTCAGGGCACTGTATTTATGGAGCGCTGACTAAAGAATTACGTTAATCACTTCAGTTATTTGCATCTCCTTTGCATGCCTGCTTCCCCTTTTACCCATGGAACTGGAATTCAGTGTTAATTCAAAAACAGAACTTTATCATGTCAACAGTGAAGAGAAGTATTCATGCTACTACAATTAATTTGCTCAGGGAATGGATGTCGTGCAGATCTATGCAAATAACTGTATTTTGAGTCCTTGAATGTGTGTAAGCACTCATAAGAAACTCCCTCATTAAGAAATTTTCCAAGTTTTTTAAATATATAACTACATCATTACTCACACAATACAAATCAGACTGTAAATCAAAATGTTCTTAAATCAATGAATTCTTAGAGGAAGTTCTTTCTGATGTGCAGCCTCTCAACTACTTTTTCTATTAATTCCGAAAAAAATTCTGAATCCTTCTGTGAGGGTTAGAGAAAATGCTGCTCAGGAAAGCAGTGTGTTAGCTTCCAAGAATGAATTTTATTGTGCTATAAGCACGATCTTTGGGCATCTTCACCTCCCATGGAAAAACACTTTATTATATGTGGAGTATTATCAGTAATTCAGGTCAAATTGCTTGACTAGACACTGCAGTAAACATATCAATAAAAGAAAAAAAAAAATCTTGGGTTATAATACAAATAAATGTAGGCTGATTCACTTAGCCTGACAGAACAATGGGCTCTAAGAGATGGGCTTTATTTTTAAAGCAATATTGAGGGTAAAAATATTTAACATAAAGGACTATGCTGGGTTAGAACTGAGTGGGGATTAAGTTGCTCTGCTAGTTAGAAAATTTTTAAACTTTAAATAGATAAACATTTTTTTTAAAAATCCCATTATCTGGAATAAAGAAGGGAAAGCAAAAAAGCCACACACTTTCCTTTTTTTCAGGATACACTGCAAGCAGCCCATTGAAGTAGTAGAGGGCTTGGGTTTGAGCCTTCTAATCTCACAAACTTCTCTGATGTTTTAGCCTTTTTTTCACTCCCTCCTGATCATTTAACATTAAGTGTTTTCAAATCACGCACATCACTGGGAACAGCAGAAGCTTCCAACAAAACACAAAGCTTCTCAGAACTATTTTAGTTCATCAGATTTTTAAATTGTGGTCAAAATGGGAATTTGAAAAGCAAGGATGAATGCGGATTTTTAAATTACAGTAGCAAGTGTACAATAATTATTAGGTTTCAGGATATAATTATTACTTGAAAATCAGTATATGTAAATTATGCAGCATGAGTTCTAGTCAATGCAGGAATGTACAGAATTGATTTATGGGTCAGTGCCAGTAAAGCATTTAAACACTGTGAGTGGCAGAGATTTTCATTTCAGTACCTCATCACCAACAAATATGAGCAAATTGACAACACCACACCTTTAAACTCAGGTTGTGCTGGGTTAAATGATTTTTTTAAACTATTTGTTTTATAGAAAACCATATCTGAAAGTCCAAATGAGATTTTTTTTTTTCAGAAAAAATAACAGAATGAGAAGATTTAGAAAGATACAAACCATGTTTTCTACTCGGAGCTCAAAAGGCATTGGGTTGTAAACCATCAACTGAACTTCACAAACATCTCCCTGGACCCACTGGAAGTCTGCAAGAAATGATCATGGAATTAATGCAGTAATTACCTAATCATAGTGTTATAAAAAAGTAGCAGCAGCTGAGCTGTCAGATTGCTATAATACTTAATAACTCTCTATAATCTTTACAGCCAAAGTCCTGCTCAAGAGCATTGTGGGACACAAACTGTAAATCCCAGGCAAAGCAACGGGTTAAAGGACTGGAAACATCCATTAAACAGCAGTTGTGCTCCAAAGACCCAACGTTGCTTGGCAAAATTAAACTAAGGCATCAATTCAAAACACATCCTTCATGTTAAACACTTCAGGGCTTACATCCTTGGAGTTAGGTACAGAGTACACATCACCGTGGATATTTAAGACTCAGATCAGAATCAACCAGACACGACAGGAGGTAGGAAATTAGAAGTCTTCATACACACACAGCTGACGATACGGAGTAAATAAAGGATTATTTTAAATTAAGAAGGAAACAACTGCTCACCAACAAGATGCCACCTCAGCTTCCTCCTACTAATTATCTTTAGGAAACAGTAAGTAGTTTGGGAGATGCTGTGGGAGTGGAAGATGACAATTGGATCTATAGAGCACAGATTTCTCTTTTTGAGGGTCACAAAGTAGAGGTTTGAGCAGTAACACAAACTGTTAAGTAACTCATGAAAATTCTTAGGAAAGACAAGGAAGTAAAATATGTCAGGTAAAAAAGTGTTATTTCAGTTTAACTCACTACAAGAGATAGGTTCAACTTCAAAGATACTTCACCCTGCCAAGTTTAAAATTTTGGGAATTTTATAATTTAAGGAGACAAGGCTGGATGGGGCTCTCGGTAACCTGGAGTAGTGGAAGGTGTTCCTGTCCATGGCAGGTGGGTTGGAACAAGATGATCTTTAATGCCCCTTCCAACCCAGACCATTCTGTGATTCTATGATTTTGTGAGGAATTTCTGGAAGTGAGGTCAGCAGCAGAGATGCAAGGTCTGAGGAACTGTTCAACACAGAAAGATTATTTTATATCAGCACTTCATAATCTTTTCAGCCCACGAGTACTTGTCTACCTTCCAGATATCACCACAGGCACCTGATGTTCTGACTTAAAACTGATTGTGACAACATTCTCCATGCATGCTGAGGAACTGCAGTCCTAATAAACAACAGGTGCTTTAACTACATTTGTAAAACAAATCATGATTATAAGCTGAACTATAGCATACATGGATTAGCTTTTACTAGTCAACTCAGTGATTTTAACATACGATGCTAACATCTTTTTTAGTAGGAGATTAGAAAACGTCCAGTAAAAAACCTGGATTATCAGTATTAAGACTCTAATTCACAGTTGAAGCCATCAGTACTCTAATTGTACATTCCCAATCATTTACTATCTGATTACATTTTGCAAGCAATATTAAAGACCTCAAGGGAGATGTACTTAATGCAAATGTTTAACTCCAATTAATGCTGATGGAAATTAAAAACATACATCCAGAGATGTTAATGGGTTATAGTACTGTGAAGCCTGAAAAGCAAAACTGTTGATTAAAACAAAATGTTCAAATGCACAATGGTAGGAGATGTTCTGTACATTTATTATTTAATTGCTTATTAGTGTTCAGGATGTCTCATCATTCTGCAGTCCCCAAAACAACCAGTGGCTGCTCTACACTGGTATTGAAGCACTAAAGTTCACCATTATGGTTTACTACAGCAACAGCAGTAGCCTCAGCAGGCACTTCAGTCCTAAATCTCTACATTCTAACAATGACCACATCATGAAATGTCTTTTCTGAAAACGTTTTCAATGCCATCATGTAAAAAGGGATTCTGAAAAATCAGAAAAACATGTTGGAAACTCTTGATTTCACCTAAGTGCAAATGCAAACCACTGATTTGCCTGATGCTTTAATGTCTTTACTTCCAAAAAAGGAAGGATTCGAGGCTCATTTATTAACATTTACCAGTATGATCCCTCTCTCTGGGCTGAAGGCTCCCTGAGCTGCCCCTCTCAGTGGATCTGAGGCTGTGGGAAGGGGAAGCTGTGCTGAAAGGGGAGACAAAACAAGAAAGAGCCTTACTTGAGACTTAGCAAGCAGTAGAACTATGGCCCCGTGGCACTGACCTCCAGAAACCACCAAAGAGTGCCAGCAGCAAATGAACAGCACCTTGGAGCAGGAGTGGCAAGGTCTCTCTGATGTGTGAGAGAGAGTTCCACAGGAGAAGGCCATCACTGTACTCCTTTTCATGCAGCAGCAACAGATATGACACCCTGGCAGCTGACAAAAGCCATGAGCAAGATTCTCACCAAGCAGGACTTCAGAGCCTTGGAGGAGCAAGGGAAGGGTACAGGTGTGCAAGGGACTTTCTCCACTCCCTTGCCAGCAGAGACAGGGATACAGGCAGGAGTTGACATATCCTGCAGATCAATACCTGGCTTCGTGGCTGGTGTTGGCACTAGGGCTGTGGTTGCTTCAGTCATGGGAAATCCTCCCCTGAACACAGCCCACTGGGGAGAGACAAGAGCCACCTACCCTAGGAGAGGCAGTAGAATCTTCACTGGCAGATTGGTTGACTTGCCAGTCTTGCTTTAAGCTGATAAACTTGCAGGGGTTTGGTGTCCAAAGCTGTGACAAGTGCAAGGTCCTGCCCCAGGGATGACATAAGCAAAGAGTCCAGGACAGGCTGGGATCTCTGTCTGGCTGTGGAACAGCCCTGCTCAAAGGGACCTGGGGGTCCACCAAACATGAGCCAGCAGTGCCACGTTACAGCAACAAGGGCAAAGCTGTGTGAGGGGAGGTTTGGGTTGGACATTAGGAGAAGGTTTTTCACCCAGAGGGTGAGCGGGCACTGGAACAGGCTCCCCAGGGAAGGGGTCACAGCACCAAGCCTGACAGAGCTCAAGGAGTGTGTGGACAACATTCTCAGGCACATGGTGGGATTCTTGGGATTGTCCTTTGTAGGGCCAGGAGTTGGACTTGATGGGACTTGTGGGTCCCTTCCAGCTCAGGATATTCTATGATTCCATGAAATCAGATCCTGGGCTGCATTCACAGACTCATTACTAACAGAGATAGCACTCTAGCCTGTGCTTGTCAGGCACAGCTGGAGGTGCTGTGTTCAGTTCTGGTCCCCACAGTTTAAGATACAGACAGACTGGAGAGGATCCAAAGGAGTGCCATGAACATGATCACAGGGCTGGAGAATCTGCCTGAGGAAAGACTAAAGGAGTTTGGTCTCTTCTCCCTGGAGAAAAGAAGGCTCAGGAGGAATCTCATCATAGTATTCCAGTACTTAAAGGGCTGCAACAAAGAGCACAGGATTTTTTCTCCCAAGAAGCCACAGGAAGAAGACCAAGGGCAATGAGTACCAGTTGCACTGAGACAGGTTTCACTTTCTTACTGAAAGAAATTTAGTTTTTTTCAGCAGGAACGATCACGCAGTGGAACAACCTCCCCAGGGACATGGGGAAATCCAAATTGCTGGAGGTTTTCAAGATGGGACTGAAATACCCTGTGAAAAAGACGTCACGGCAATGCCACAGAATTGCTTTCTTGGGTGAAAAGGTTTTGAAAAGAAAGGTAAAATGAGCTATATTTATTTCATCTAATACAGGTATGACATTAACTGCCACATATACTAATGGAACTATATTATGTATTCTTGCTGCTTTAGACTATCAGCACTCAAAAACAAAAAACCACTTCATGTCAAAAATCAGTAGGTTCATTTCTTGGAACTAGTGTACTATTAAAGCAATTTAACCAGAATATAACTATCCCCTTTATTGTTTCCAATCTGAAAAGCTTATCAAGTTGAAAGCAGAAAATACTTCAAGACTTCCTAAAATGGCTTTGTTTCCCCTTGGTTTGTCAGCAGAACTTGATTTCCTTTGCTGTAAAACAATAATTTAACCAAAATATGGTGTACATATCTCCATGTAAGAAAAACAGTTCATTTGTTATTGTTGTTTTTAATTATTGTTAAATACATGTCATTAGAATATTCTCATTAGTTTCAAAGTTTATTAAATTTCTCAGCTTCTTTCAAAGGAAGTATCTGATTTAATTTTGTATTTTCTTTTGTTTGCTAAACTTTGAAACATTAGAGGCTTTTACCAGTGACTGCATTGTGTGTATACTTCAAAAGACAAATGCTTTACAGGATCAGCAGCAGTTCAGACATCTCTGTGGGCTAAATAAAAACCTAAAAGGAGAAATTTCACTGTAGAAATGTAAATCTCCTACAGTACACACAGCACTGAAACAAATCCTAACTTGAACTGTATCAAAAAATGCAGTTTCCTTTTGTATCTATCAAGGAGTGAGAATACAAGTATTTGACAAGACTGGGAATAGGGTTTTATTTAAATGAAAAAAACATGACAAGGTGTAGATAAGAGATCAAATGTGGAAAAATTGTGATCAATCTTTCAAGAAAATATTAAGAGAAATCAAGGAAGCACTTTAGGATGTTCCCATATGTGTATATTTTTAAAAATTATCTTTTACCTAATTCTTATTTCTTATTCCTTTTTTTTTTAATTTCTTATGCTTTATCTTCTGAAATTGAAGCAGTGCTGCAGCAAAGTCACACTGAGCCACATCCATCCAAACTGCCAGATAACCATCCACACCAATGCACATCCTAATTTTTCCTGTTTCAATTACCCTGCATGTGATACACAAAGAAACAAAAAGAACTACCAATATCTGCAACCTAATCCAGGATTTAAATGAACCTCTAATTTATTTCCAACGGCAAAAGTACTGCACTAAAAAGCTTTATAATAAAATACATAATCCTCTAGCAGAAAATGACTACTATTCCAAACAGGGTTTATAATGGTTTTTTTATTTTGGCTGAACTGTCCTTAAGTAAAAATGACTAATCAGACAGCTCATCACTCTGAGTTTAAGTTAAAGCAGAATAGGATATTAAATCAGAATAGGAAAAAAGGAAAACCACAACAGTGCTCAGGGCACCGATAACTGTGGCAGTTGCCAAGCAGAATGTGTCTGAACTAAGTTTTCCCTGATTTCTCTTTTGCTTGAGAAGGGAATAAAACTAGTTTATCTCTTCTGAAAATCAATGTTATCATCTATGAGACTTTATTCTTCTTTTGAATATGAAACTGTGCCCCAGAGAACAAAGCTTTGCTCCTTCAGGACTTTAGGCTAAAAAAGCTGATTATTTCAAATACAAGACAGCAGTGTTCAGGTTCGCTCTCCTTCACCACAAAAAATTTTCTAATTTAAAAAAGAAGAGAAAATACTGCCAATTATTCTCACCTATTTTCTTATTTCGTTCTTCCCCACGACTGTGTGCAATAATTGGAGAATATATGAAGGGGCTTTTGGTTGACACATTCTGACCAAGTAAACTCTTCATTTTGTGAGGTCGGAGACTGGTTGGGAGGTTCAGGAGCTTCACAGATCTGTTGAGTAAAAATAATTTCATACTGTTTTATTTATTCTATTTCATGAGAGATGGCTGTGTTAAAAAACGAACTGATAAATATGAAATGTCAGTCTGAGATTAAAATACCCGAAATGGAAAACTTGAAGTAAACACCCACAGTACAAAAGGGAAAAAAAAAAAAAAAACCAAGGAAACTTCAGACAGTTTCAGAAAGCTCCCAGAAAACATTTAATCAGAGAAAAGCATCCTCTGTAGAAACAAACGAAACCAAAACTAGCCAGGATCAGGGATTTGAAATTCAGCTCTTAATTTCCAAGTTCAGTCTGAACAACAGATACACCACAACCCCAGTGCAAAAAGCAGCCAAGTATTTAACTTAAACTCAAATGAGAATCCAGACAAGATTGTACAGCATAATACAAATAAAGAACTTCTCCAAGGTGAATAAAACTGATTTTAAAACAGTGAAAACGCAGTGTTGCTGCTGGAAGGAAGGAAATGTTCCAGAAATTTGAATGTGTTTGCTGAACAGCCAGAAAGCAATTACAAATAGACAGAAAACAAATGATTTATTAGACTATATCCCTGTTAGACCCAATTCCCTGCAACACCATGCAGGGAAATCACTGGTCTTGCAATGCTGAGGGGAAATTAAAGACTAAATTTTTGGCAGAAGAACAAGTAATAAATTGGTGGATATTCAGTAAAAGCAACAGTTTTATAAAAGCCTGTAAGACATCTAATTACTTCGAGTCAGGAACTCAGCATAATAAAGAACAGATATATCAGTATCACACCAATAGAAAGTACACATAAGAAACCAAGATAATGTGTTTCTGCTGAAAAATAATGAAGTTGTAAGAGTAACACTACACAGACATGTTATCTCAGTGATCTAAAACACTTGATAAGGAATTACTGGATAACACTAAAAGTATTTTGGAACAAGGAATAAATCACATCCATGTATTATGTGCTGGTGATACTTAGTGTCAGCATCACAATCAAATGTAAAATCACAGACCACGAGACTGAGGAATAAAGAGGAACTATGACAGATCCTTCATATTCCATATTTTAAAACCTCTTCTGACAGAATTTTGCTAAAAATTAGAATGCAGCCTAAAGTAAAAACATGAATTATACTATTTGAGGAAAAAAAATTAAATTTTGTAAAGTGCTTATAAAAAGTTTTATTTTTTAAACAGAGAGAAGTGCTTTGGCTTCTCCGCAATTATTATAAAAATACTGGTGGATAACCTGCTTTACATTAGTGCATGACAGTGGAAAGAATGTTTTTCAACCACATATTAGACAGATGTACCCTCACAGGTTTTATCTAATTCCTTTGTGTGAAAAGTGTATGTCCCCTGTCATGTCCCCTGGCCTGGCCCAACTGAATGCAAATGAGTGACAATTAAGAATTATCAACTAATATCACTATCTACCCAGAAGACACAAAACCTCATATTTGGAAAATGTTGATTAAAAACAACCTTGCTTAGAGGTGAGAGGAAAATAATTAAAAATAAAAAACACTTTATTAAAGGGGGGAAAGGGGCACTGAGTAAATTTAAAGTAGTAAGAAAAGTATATAAGGACAATTAAAAACACCAGTGGTGAAAAGGAAGAAAATTCTTTCTTTCTGCTCCTAAGTATATTAGTAAGAAAATTAGCTTTAGCACAGGTAAGTTACGAAAATGGGAACAGTGCACCTAGTAGAACAGAAAGACCATAAATTCTTCTATTTTTTATCTGAGAAAATACTAGATGATGATTTCATAATTAACATGAGTAATGGAATATAAAAAAGCCAAATCTCTTCTATTGCTTTTTAAGTACAGGGAAGAAAAGGTAACAGTGCCACTACGTCCAAATTTCACTGTGGCATTTCAATGTCTGACGGTATTTTGATAAGAAATCTGCATCCAAAAGAAGCGCCCCACATTAAATGGATTAAAAACTCACAGACCATGAAATGCCAACAGTAAATAAAAGTCATCACCATCAGCAAACGGGTGTTTCTAGAGGACTCTAGCACGGATTGAATCATTTGCTGAGGTTATTCAACATTGATCAAAATCACATTTCCACACATTTATAATTTATGTCACGAACATTAGCACAGTTTAGCTCAAAGAGCTCTGCAGCCCTGCAGCACAGCTGGTTCCCAACTGGCTGGACAGCTCTGCCACACACCAGATCTGCTGTGTGAGGTGTAACCAGAGGTTTCATATCCAAACACAACTCATGCTTTACCGGAGTATGAATTTTAATCACTATGGCTTTTATAGAACTTTCAGAAGACAAGAAGAAGGGGGAGGAGGAGACGAGCACAAACAGTAGTTCTTGACTGTTCAATAATGTCGATGCTAAACAATGTTGATATTGGGTTTCCCATGGCAAAAGAGTAGAAAATACTCCCAGCATTCCAAGCACAGCCAGGTCAGCACAAGCTGACAGTGTAAATGAAGCACCTGGGTGGTGAGGAACTGCCTAAAGCCAGGCCTAGGAATAACAAATAATTATAATGTGTTTGTCCCATTCTCTCAGCATACAAAACATTTCAAGTGAGACAAAGCCCTTCCCATTGAAGTCTTGGGAATCTGTTGCCAAAGTTTCAACTGGTCTCTTCTTCCAGGTAACGAGCAACAGGATAAGAGGAAATGGCCTCAGGTTGTGCCAGGGGAGGTTTACACTGGACAGTAGAAAACTTTTCTTCAGGGAAAGGGCTGTCAAACATTGGAACAGGCTGCCCAGGGAAGTGGTGGAAACACCATCCCTGGAAGTGTTTAAAAACCATGTGGATGTGGCATTTGAGGACACGGTTTAAGGGTGAACATAGTGGTGGTGGTGGTTTGACCGTTGCACTTGATGATCTTAAAGGTCGTCTCCAATCTTAACAACTCCCTGGTTCTGTGATTGTAAATGCACAACTCCTACAAAGAAGGATTTGATCAGCATTTCCCATATCTTCCAGAGCTGAATTTTCTTCACTATTCAGCATGGAGAAGAATAGGAAAGTACTATGGAATACAGAGCACAATCCACCTCCTGCAAGGTTTAAAAGTTAAGCAAAAACCAAAAACTTGAAACTAACTCAGGGTTTAAAACGTCACAGACAAACACAACACTGCTGCTTCAGCACAAATTAAGGGTCAGATTCATCAGAGACCTTCTGCAGCTGTTTCACAGCCCAGATACCATCCCCAGTCAGATTAAGGAAGGTAGTTTTGGTTTTTTACCATGGAATAAGGTTATTGCTAGAGCAGAGACCTGCGAGAGGCACTGAGAAGCTGACAGCACTCTTGCTCTCAAAGTATTTTGCCTTCAAGAAGTTTTTGTGGAAGCTTTTGCTCAAACTTCTCTCTACAGTCACATAACTCAAGTACTAGAAAGGATTCCTAGAAGTTTGCTTAATTAGCTTCCAGTTTTTAATACTATTTAATTTTTGTTTCCAAAAAAAAAAAAAAAAAGAAAGAGGCCAGGATAACATTTGCATAAATTTTGTTTCTATAAACTTTCAGAAGAAATAGAGGCCTCTTTCATGTACTTAGGTGGGAACCTGCCTTCAGAGTGTATTTAGCAGGCAACTCATCTAACCCACAGACACAGTGACCTGAACTCATCGCTGGACATCTCTGAGGCCAATGCAAAATGAGTCAACACAGTCCACACACACTTGCAATTTGACTCATCCTGAAGCAGGTACCTAAATTAGGTTAGAGAAACCTGGACGTGACCACCTATGTGTCTTGACTGCAAACGTGAGCCAGCAGTCAAATGTCACTAGTTTAGTTCTATCTGTAGATTTTTTGTGAAACTAATCAACCTCAAGGTCAGCTGATAAAGCAGTCAACTAAATTTCCCACTGTAATACATAGCTTTCAATCACAGAATCATAAAATATTCTGAGTTGGAAGGGGCTCACAAGGATCATCCAGTCCAACTCCTGGCCCTGCACAGGACCACCCCAAGAATCCCACCATGTGCCTGAGAGCGTTGTCTAAATGCTCCTTGAACTCTGTCAGTCTTGGTGCTGTGACCCCTTCTCTGGGGAGCCTGTTCAGTGCCCGATCACCCTCTGGGTGAAGAAGCTTCTGGGTGAAGTTTTGGTCTTAACAGTTAAGCTTTTGGGATTGTATGTTCACGTTCCATGTTTTCCAGTCAAGAAGTTGATACCGGCTGCAACTTCGTACTTGGTCCAATCAGGAGACAAAACAGTTTCCAGGACACCACTGGAAACAGTGACTGTCCTGATTCCACATACAATTCCATCTGACCACACACAGCCAAATCTGCACCTCCCACACAACAAAGCGTCAGTGTGAACAGACCCGTCACCTGAAATGCACTACAAGAGTTAGGGAAGGTCTCCTTCTTCTGTCAAAGTGGAAACAAAAACTGAAGTTAGAGGGAACATAGTAAAACCAGTTGTATCATGAAAAATGGACACAGAATAAAAAAAAAGTAATTCTAGAGATTAAAAGTAATCTAAAAATAAGTAAAATTTTCATTCTTTGGTTATATACTGTGTTATCCCTTTGTGATACCGGAACTCTTGCTTCGTGAAATGTTTGATGACATCCCACTGCAAACTGAAATTTCTGAGAACTATTTCAGTAACTTCTACCATTTTTTTTTCTGAATAGCAATTATCTTTCCTTCAGAAGGGAAAGATTTTCTTTTAGTCTTCTATTATTGATGCCCAGTGGCTGCTTTCTCTCTCTGACTCTCTCTAATGCCTCATGCTGGGCTTTAATCTAAACAAGTTCCTATTCATTGGGCTGACTGTGTGATGTGCCTGGGCACGTGGGCACAAATAGGAACTGAGATTTACAATAGTGAAGGTGCCAGCTGGAAAACGCAGCATCTGGAAAGGAAGAGCTACAAAAGGCATCAGTTCCAGCTGAGTTCCAACTCCATGAATGGAGACAACATCCAGCTCACGGACCCTCAGTATCGAAGTGATCAGGAATTCAACCTAAATCTCAGCTGCAGTTACAAAATACTTTCCTCCAATTGTATCAGAAACTCTTGACTGACAGTTTTAAAAAAAGCAAAACCTCTCTCTTTCTGCAGCTAAAGGCCACAAAGTATTTTCTGCTCAAAGGCTCTATTTTTGCTTAAGATCTTCGCAAAACAATTTGACATTTCGACGTTTTTCCATGTTATTGTGATCAATGTGCATAAATTGAGAAAACTATATCCTTCCAGTATCCTTTAAAATTTGACAGGTGCCATGGAAAAGCTAAAGATTGTATTTTGGAGTCTTACCTCACAATGGGCAATTTGGTGAAGGGAACAGGAGGTAACTTCAGACCATCTGGAAGAGTGATGACTTCCATTGTTCCAGGGCATTTTGCTGTATAGCTTTCCAAGCTCTGTGTTACATCTTTCTTTTCTAGAAAATAAAATTACAAAACAATTTCAAACCCACATGTATCAAAAATTTAAGAAGTTATAAGTTTAAGTTTTATTTGCAGATTTGTTTTGTATTTACACAAAATAACTCTAATGGCATGCCAACTAAGTTTTTCATACAGCAGTTGGAGCTTTGTTCCAGAAGCCTCAACAGATGGATCAAATATAATTAAGTGACCTCTAAGCAAAAGAGTTTTCTAGCTTTCTCAGAATTTTCCAAATGCCAGCCTATACCTACTTTTTTAGGTTTTTTATTGTCAAAATAGAAGTTTCTACAATTTATCTCATAAATCTACACATCCAACACATTTGGCCTCACGCATGTTAAGGTTATTAATAATAGCATTGTATGGGAACAAGCCCTGCTCTGAAACATCAGATGAAATACTATCAAAGACAAAGAAGAGAAACAAATTATTTTTTATGTTACCTTGTGTGAAAACTACCTAATTCTCAAAATAATTGTACTCTATTATGCTACTAAATCATAACAACTGCTAGAAAATTTTTCTTTGGTTTTGCTTAAAAATACAAGAGCATTCAAATAAACTATGGAAGGTGTCCCTGCCTATGGCAGGACAGTCGGAACTAGATGGTCTTCAAGGTCCCATTCTGTGATTCTATGATTCCCCATTTCTCTGACAAAATGGGAATCTGCAAACAGAAATAAGCCTGAGAGTGTGTTTAGAGAGAAGAATGAGACAGATGAAAAGTCTTATACCTGTATTGTTTTAAAGCACAGTGAACATTCATAGAATCAAGAGTGTTTGGGTGGGAAAGGACCTTGAAGACCATCTAGTTCCAACTATCCTGCCATGGGCAGAGGCACCTTCCACTACACCGGACTGCTCCATATATGTGCTACCAACAAAAATAACTATTCAATAACCCAACTGTTTCTAGAAAATACTTCAAAGATCAAAATACTCAATGATAAAATAGAAAAGGGAAGGGTGATAGCAAATACTGCTTTCCAAAAAAACTGCTTTGACAGGTGTATTGGGTTATGCAGCAAGATTTTGGTTGCAAGGGATGCTGTAGGTGTGGCCTCTGGGAGAAGAGACAAGGAGTAGCTCCAGGAGAGAGCCAGATCCAGTCAAATCCAAAAAGGAGCTGCTGCTGGCCAAAGCTGGGCCCATCAGTTATGTTGGTGGCATGTCCCTGATAACATATTTAAGAAAGGGTAAAAAATGCTGCATAGCAGCTGTGAAAGGGAGGAGTGAGAAAAATGTGAGAGAAACAAATCTTGTAACCAGGCCAAAAACACAGAAATCTGCCCAAAACACCAACTTGGGTCTTGAAAGCCCCAAACATCCAGCAATGTCTGTGCTGCCCACATCAATCCAGCTTAGTTTGTGAGCTTCTACTGCCAGGAGTAAACACTCTTTCAAAGCAAATAAACATTGACTGTAGTGCCCTTCACTACAGAATTAATGCCACATAACTGACAAACTGCTTTGCTTGTGTCTCTGTTTCACTGAACTGTCTCTTGAGCCACTCTTCACATTTTCATTTCCTACAGGAAATACTCCCAAAAACACATTATTAGACATCCACATGTGCTCAGGCAAGGAATTGTAGTGGTTCAAGACTGAGTATTTTCATAGAAATTTCAGGTTATTTGCCATGTCATGTGAGCAAGGGCACATTGTGCAAACAGAATCCACCGAGACAGAAATCTTCACAGCTACCAAAAATGATGAAGACAACACTACAGCATGTGCTTAATTCTGCTTGAAACTGGATATTCTGTAATTCTGGAGAATTGGCTTTCACTTCCTAGTGTGAAACACTCACAGAAGGCCGGCTGCCACTTGCAAAAAGGATTTGTTTATAGATTTCTGAGGGGCATTTTTTTTCCACGGCAGTAGCTCGGCAAGCTTTCCATGAAGACAAGGCTAAACGAAGCCATTTTTCTCTGCTGACGTGGTATGGAATAGTCTTAAATGAGCTGCTGGCCCTCTATGCCTTTCCCTTAGCACCACATCTCAGCTGAGATGCTGTAGGAATCTACATACTAAGAAGTGTTCTCGATGCAAAAGAGAAAGAACTGCCTGATCCTGCCCAAGAGCTGCCTCTGAAAGCAAATGCTGGAGCCTCCTCCCTTGACTGAGCACCTCGGCTCCCTGACCTCTGTGGCCTAATAGTTGCCAAAAACCTGTTACAGACTGGTGGTCTCAAACAGGTCTGAATTCTCCCAGCTTTTGCCTGCCTGTCACCATATTCTGAAACCATCAGAAATCTCACAGACCTCCTGGGAGGATCCATTCAACTCCTCGGCCTCCTTCCTGACCCAGAGTTTAGAAGATTTCTGTGACTGAAACACCACTGGTACTTATCTTTCTCTTTACAAAGAAGACAGAGAAAACAGCTGCTTTTGGAGGTCTTTACCCACCTGGGGTCTTCATGCTTCTACAGGTCAGCAGGAAAGCAATCACCACTTGATCCTGTGACCTGTGAATTCACCTCAACAGCTTTAAAAGCCTGTCCTGCAGCTGGGAACGCCACTGGATACTCTTGTGCAGGTATCAGAGACTCATTTATTGAGTGAGAAGTGATGGGTTATGTTTTCATCTGCAATAACTGCGTTCATGGGGGTTTTTTCCCCTCCAGTTTCTCTCCAGACTCACTGAAAGATCAGGATCACAGAATGGCTGTAAACCAAACAAAGCTGAACAAAGCCACAGTCAGGAGTGGCACCAGAGCACATACTGCAGTTTGTTCAGCATAACTTCGTAGTTCAGTTCCCTCATTTCACATCAAATTGGTTTTGACTGCTTCTGACAACTGACAATTTTGCAAGTCCACCCATATTCTTAGGATTTCATTGCTTAACTGTTTCCCATCACCACAATGAGCACTGGGTTTGTCTAAAAGCTGATTCAAACCTTCTTCTAATACGGCAACACAAAAATCTGAAAGCTTCAGGTGCACAGTTAGAAACCATTCGTGACTGAAACATCAAAAAGCAAAGACTTTCTGCTCATTTAGCAGTCATGAGGAACAATATTTCACAATAATGGAGCCATTGAAAAATCAGACCAGGAGAGGAGAGGAGATCAGTTATAGACTAACATTTTTAGGCACTTCAGTTTGTGTGATTTAACAGTATCACACAAACAGCATTTCATGTCTTGGCAGACAACAGAGCAAATCAGAAGAACACAATTGCTGTAACTCTCTTATTTCAGCTATTTAATATTTGAAGAAATTTAAAGTATCTGTACATGGGCTCAGTCACTACCCATTGAAAACTAAGGCAAGTAGTAAAAACGCAGCATTTGTTCTCTGGCAAACAATTGGTTGATGTTGTTTTGATCAAGTCACTGTGTCCCTTGCAGAACAACCTACACCCGGGTGGAATGGGAATGAAGAAAGGGACAATTTTATGTCTGAGATGCCAATCACATTGGAAGACAATTTCATTTCCTTATGCGACTTGCTAAAATGTTGAAAAAGGAAGTCAGAAAACAAATGGCTAAAAGCCTTCTGACTTCAGTTTCCCCCGGTGATAAGCCCAGAATGAACATTTTAACAAAAAACCCTGTACCCAGAGTGCTTTGTGCTGGCTGAGCTTTTCCTTCTCTCTTGAAAACAGCAAATAATGGCCAAAAAGGAGAAGTCCAAGGACAGCTCCTGCAGCAGCCAGGTCCAGACCCAACTGCCTCAGGACAGAGATGCAAACATCTTAATAAATTACTAGTAGCACATAAAAAGACAGAAAAGTCGGTCTGACAACAGAAAGAACAAGAGAAACAGTAGTTTCTGCACCCAGAAACATAGCTATGGCCTTCCAGTACCTGAAGGGAGCCTACAAGAGTAGGACTTTTTACAAGAGTGTGGAGTGATAGGACAAGGGGGAATGGCTTCAAACTGAGAGTAGTTTTAGATAGATATTAGGAAGAAATTCTTCCCTGGGAGGGTGGTGAGGCACTGGCACAAGTTGCCCAGAGAAGTTGTAGATATTCCATCTCTGGAAATGTTCAAGGCCAGGTTGGATGGGGCTGTGAACAACCTGGTCTAGTGGAAGGTCTCCCTGCCCATGGCAGGGGGGTTGGAGTGATATGATCTTTAAGGTCCCTTCCAACCCAAACCATTCTGTGATATTTCCTTCACACACATGCAGAAAAACAAAAAATGTTTGGTGAGCCCTGTTACAACTAGAGAACAAAAAAAATTCCATGTCTGCTTCCAGGGGAATCTCCAGCCTCACCGTGCCATCGCGACACAGTGTATTCCTTAAACTAAAGAATTTCAAAAAGACCACAAAATGTGTTAGGACCCCCATAAAAGCTGAATTAGAAACTGAATATTCATAGACAGCAACCACTACAGACTTTTTACCTTGCAGAGAATCACCAGACTGCAGGATGTGCCAGGCAGTGCCTCAGCTCTAGTTCTGGGCCGTGAGCACCCTGTTTGTACCCTCAGTGCATCCCTTCACTACCACAGGCAGGCCAACGCTGGGAGAGGAGCACCTCAGCAACACTTGCCCCATCAACACACTAATGCAGCATTTCAGCTGTGCAATTCTGCCAGTGCAGCATTTCAGCTGTGCAATTCAGCAGAAGAGAGCAGCTCCTCTCCTGGGCAGGCAGCACCACCTGGTTTTCCATCCCATTAACTCCAATAGGTGTTGGGTGATGGCATTTTCTACTGTTTTGGTAAACAGACAGCACCTCTAATATTTTCCTGAAAAATACATGGAGCAAGTAAACAAACTTAAAGATCGGATACTTGAACAAGCTGCTTTGTAAGCAAGGAAAGGAATCCTGGATATTCATCCCAACATTGTCTCCTGCAACAAGTGTGTGTGTTCTCACAGACTCCAAAGCTATTCTTATGGGGAAAACCAGAAAGGCACTGGTAGAATATGAATCCCACCTCTTTAAGAAATCAAGCAAAATAAGTCTCTAAATAAATACAACAGAGACTAACAAAATTCACTGTTTCACATGGAAAAGAGCAGAAATCACAAGA